TCATAACCGAGTGGGAATAACATGTATTTATAGAAAGGTAACCATGCACAATCGATTAAGCATGCTTGTAATGTGGGGCCTAATGATTACGTAAGTCCTTAAGCTCTTTGCTACAATCTTTCCGATGGTTTCTTTTAACCCTATTTTTGGCTCATTAAAAAAATGAAAAAGTCAGGTGTTGAGAACGCCCAAAATAATGTTAGTCTTAATTTATAGCTCTTGTGATAGCAAATGGGATTCATGAAAATTATCTAGACAGGAACAAGCAAAAACTTTAAATTACAAAATGTAAAAAATGGTACTTAATTTATAATACGATTTTCGGTGGTTGTCAGTGACATAAATAGGGTTATGCAAGAAATACAGCTGCACAGGTATACAAATAGCCTGATATTTCTTCTTTATGAAAGAAAAAACAGAGTTTTATATAGTTATAGATATGAGAATAAGGAGCCTCCAAAGCTTCTTTGGTTTCAACCCTTCTTTCCATCTTCGTTTTCAGGAACTGCACAATGTCTTTTGAAAGCAAATCCGAATAGAAAACAAGTTGCATATTGTTATTCTGATTCTCTGCAGTAGGGGCCCCTTAAGCTTCTTTTGTTTAGAATGAAATTTTATATAAAATCTGCTTATCTAGGACTTCTTTCTTTGTTTCTGTATTTTGTATGTTTGCTATTAATTCTATATTTCAGATGGCATTCTTCTCTGCACACTTATTTACGTATCCCTATTACTTACCCCAATGAAAGGGAAATATCTTAAAGATTTGACCTTCCAACTCGATACCCTATATGCAAGCTTAACAATCAACTTAGCCACGACCGAAATCATCATCAGTGAAAAACATTCACCCCCCCACACACACACATTTTTTTTCTTGTAAATAATGGGGAGTGAAGGCTCAAAATCCCCCCCCAACTCCATAGAGGACCACGAGCTGTACTTAGCCACTATTAGTTGCATATGATACTTAAGGCTGTATGCTTTTCATTGCACAGTTTATTACTATTATTATACTCTATTTAACCATGTAGCCTATTTTACATTTCTTTGACATTTACCTTTCTACAGCTGCATATCTTTTTTCCCTCCATGCACCACTTTCACCATTGCTAGAAGATCACTTCCTTTCCTTTACAAAATTTGAAAAATATATGCATACATTTATTTAAATTGCTTTCTCATGTGTTTTATAAAATAAAAAAAAAATATAGAAAATATTGCTAAGTACCAAAATTTGAATAAAAGTAATATTTTATACTCATAAACTACATACTTAACACCTAAATAAAAGGCTGACCCCCTGAAACTGTGAAATTCCCCTTGGTTGAGGACTCCTGCCTTTACATGATTTGAAGCAACGTTTACATGATGAGGCAATCGATGGGTTGTGCATTCCTCAGCAAATGCCAAATCGGTAAAAGTGTTTGACCAGTTCTAGATTTAATGGCAGACTGTGTAAGTGGCCATCCGGGTCTGTAACTTAAAGTACTTAAACCAAATATGTTAAAAATAAATTTAAATGAGCTGCGTTTTTAGTGTTAATACTAGTATAATAAGAACACTTTCTACCATAATATAGTATTGATACTGAGGGTTTTTTTTTTTTTTTTTTTCCCCTCCATAGGCAGCAAAATGTCATTATCCAGCACTTTGCCTGATGTATATGTGTGGGGGGGGATATTTTGATTTAAAAGTATAGTTATAGATGTAAAATTGAAATTATATATATTTTTCCACAAATATTATGGAAAATATACTTTGATTTGAGATTTCCGTATTATGTTATTTTATTTTAAAATGAAAAATTGTGACCTTTCACAATATATTAGTGGATGTAGACTTAGTAGTGGATTTGACGTACATATCAATAATGTAAAATGCTTCTTTGCAAATATTTTACTTTGTAGAGACCATTTAGAATTTTTCGAAGTCAGGAAACCAAAGAAATCCGTAATGCCCTCGTAAGGATTCCGGACCTTCCGATTGTTAGCCGAATGTGTTTTCTAATTACACGATAAAGGCTTGTGATAAGGAGAGAGAAAATAAGTTACTACTGCAACTAAATGTTTTAACAATTTATTGGATTTCTGAGGTTGCCAGAATGGTTGATTTTTTTTGTTTCCTTGAAACAATATAAATTTTATAGCAGTAACAATCTAGTAAATAATGAACTGCTGTTTTCCACTCCCATGGAATGCCTGATTAGGGCATATCTGGCATGTTGCAGTATCTGCTTTGCAGAATATTTCAAGTTTGCAATCAGTTACATATTTCAAGAACTTCAGAAAAATATTTACAGTTGCAGGATTTTTGATAACACAAGTCTTTTGCAGCATTTTTGATAATGCAATTCTTTAGCAAAGGATTTGCATGAAACTGATGGTTTTAACTTGATTTATTTTGAATCCGGTCTTAAAAATACTCTTATCCCCAAAAGTTTTGAGAAAATAAGATTCTTGTTAATGAAAATATGGTATTTTTAAGCACAAAAAATTGTTGCAAGAGTAAAATACGAGGGCATTTCGAAAAGTAAAGATACACCGTACGTCAGAGGAAAAGAAAAGTTTTGGTGAGCAAGTTGGCAACACGGGTGTTAACCCTTGAACCGTTAGCTTTCTCCTCTCGGTCGTTCGGCATTTCAACGTTGATTCTGGTTGGAGTAGGTCGTGTTTAAAATGGCTGCGCCGATTCAGAATCCCGCCAAATGCGAAGTGCGCAAAAGGTCAGTGACCAGCGAATATTCACAAAGAAATTGTTTCTGTTTATGGCAACATTATGAATCGACAAAATGTAACGAAATGGTGTCGTCATTTCTCTGAAGGTAGGACCGATGTTCATGACGAACAAAGAACAGGTCGGCCATCTGTGATCTCTGATGCCCTTCTTCAGATAACAGAGGAAGCAATTCGTACGAATAGAGGTCTCAAATTGAAAGAATTGCATCAGATCATACCGGAAGTGTCAATGACAACTCTTTATGAAGCTGTGACTGTCAAGTAAGGGTATAGGAAATTGTGTGCGCTCTGGGTTCCAACAGGCGGCAACCTTCTATGACTGTGGGATACAAAAGCTTGTGCACCGACTTAACAAATGTTTGGATACGGGGGTGATTATGTCGAAAAATAATAAATAATCCAGTTAATAAGATGTAACTGACGTTTTCTAAATATTTTTTTTTTTAAAGGAATGACAGCCATTGTATCTTTACTTTTCGAAATGATCTCGTATTTTACCTCGAAGCCAGTTCCGAATCTAGTGTCATAGTTAGAGTTCCAAGCACCTAAAATGCATTGCCGTTTATCGAACAATGAAACCGAAATTTTAATATCTATTAAGCAAAAATATTACTATTGTAATGGTTCAAATAAAGAGTTTTAACGCTCAGAAGTTTTTCATTTGCTGATCGAAAATAAGTTTTAAGGCAGTTTTACTTTCTACAAAAATTTAATTGTCTCTTATTCCTGTAACTTTTGTTGAAAACGTGAAGGTAATTTAAAACAGATTAGAGCATTACTTCAAAATAAAAATTACAAAAGGCCTCATATGGCATTATTGATAGGATTGCAAACAGGCTTTATCCTCTCCCCATCTCTTGAATGTGATAAATGAGCAAAAGCTAGTCGGTTTGCATTCAAGAAAATACCTGTACAGGTATATACTATGACTGATGAGAAAAATACATCAATTTAAGTTTTAACGGAATTATCACATATGGCGATGTGCGGCGCTGTAAATTTTGCGGAGAAACATATTTCTTCCAGCATTAGTTTGAAGAGGAGGAAACAATTGCGGGGACTTAACGGGGACGTTTTACGAAGCTGAGGAAAATGTTTCGTTGACAGTTGTGTCTCGTTCAGCTTAAAAATTTGATAATAAAATTGACATCAAAATTTTATTTGGAGGTTTAAAATTCTGATTTTGGTTTTGAGGTACTTTGCAATGTATTTTTTTGCATAAATCTAATGAAATGTATTTGCATGAATTAATAATAAAAAAAATTTAATTTTTGTTAACCAAACTGATTACATTTTTTTAATTGAAGAATAATGCTTAGGTTATAAAGAAAACTTTAAAGTAATCGGAAACAGCTGAAAGTCTCATTAGATCTTTTTGGGAGGGCTTCACATAAATAAATCAGATTTTCCAGAAGCGAAAATTCCTCGAAATGTTTCTTTTGACACGCATTTGAAGGTAAATAATAGATTTGATAGGTGCTTAAATGGACAAGAGAAGAATTCTTTTACCTCAGCTTCAATAAAACTGTAAATAATTTAAATCTAATAATTAGATTATCACATATGGCGGTGTGCGGCACTGTACGAAATATTTCGGAGAAAATGTTTCTTCCAGCATTACTTTAAATAGGAGGAAACAGTTGCGGGCACTTTAAGAACATTTTAAAAGTCTGAGGAAAATGTTTCGTTTGCAGTTCTGTCTTATTTAGATCAGGAAGGAGACGGATAAATTTTTAAAACGAAAGTTCGGGAAATTTACACATAGCTTCCGTAAATTTCCTGTTATATATGTGTCTAATTGTTTGGTTTTCGGTAGTCCTTTGGTTATCGTCAATACGTACCTATCCTTAAAAATTAAAGAAATTTGTAATCAGACAGTTAAAACAGGTAAGTGGTAATAGAAAATAAGTATTATATTTGGCTTTTTAGTGGCATGAAATTAGTAAGAAATGTTACAAAAATAGTGAAGAAAATTTTCAGATATTGAACAGTATATGTTCATACATTTTTTTTAAGTACCCTAAATAATGTATGATCATTATAATGTTTGTGAGTATTCTTGTTTATGTAGAGTTTGTATATTCATGTATTATGATTATTATGGGGTTACTGTTTAGGACTGTGTATAAAATTTTTCTTTTGCAACCCCCTTTTCCCCAAAGACTTGGCCGCAGCCAGGATGTTAATCTTTTATGTGCAATAAATTATATGTAAGAACTGTAATGCAGGTTTTAAAAACATAATTTTATATTATTTACTTTTTCCCTAGGTCATAAAATACTGTGATCATGTACATGGAAAGTGGCATTTCAGTGAAATTCGAGCTGTTTTCTCCAGGAGGTATCTGCTGCAGAATGTTGCCTTGGAAATATTTTTGGCATCAAGAAGTATGTTTTTCTTATATTACTTTCCGCATTTGAAACACTTATTATCATTGATTTAAACATTTGGCAGTCTTGTTCTTATTTCAATGAAAATACTTACCCTCGAGAATAGTTATGTCAAAGGAGTTTTCATTTGGAGATTTTAGGACCTAAAACATCTATCTCTAACATAGTTTTAGAATTAAAATTTCTTCAAATATATTAATATCATGCGATATCAGTGGCATAGCTGGGGGGAATCTGTCTCCAGGCATAGCATCTGGGAGTGCCATATTGATGTTATTAAATTTCTGAGTTAAGTGTTTTCCATTGCCGTCAAACAAGAGCCCCCAGGCACTGAAAACTCTAGCTACATGACATCTTTATTGTAAATTCTGGCTGTAAAGAATTTTATGGATTAATAAACTTTTAAAATGTCTCTGAAGCATTTTCCATATAAAGGCCAGCTATAACAAGTAATTGGTAGACTGAAAGCTCTTCACTTACAATTGAATGTTTCTGAAGCCTGAAAACTCCAAAAAACATTCCTTCAAAAATTTGGAGATAATTTCTTATCATTGGAATGATCATTGTCCCATGATAATTTTATAAATTTCATGCATAGTTAAAATATTGTATTTTTAGTTAGTATTTTATATGTGTTTAAAGTTTAAATTTGACAGGAATAATCATTTAAATATTTATTTTTATTTTTAGCCTCCATAATGTTGGCCTTTATGGACCACATGACTGTGAAAAAAGTTGTAAAAGCCCTTCCGTGTGTTGGAGTGGGAATAAAATATGGTATTCCTCAAACAAGGTAAAGTTTTCTGTTTCCTGAATTTTCATTTTGTGCAATATAGTAAATGCCATTGTATTTGTTGTGAATAATTTAATCATTTCAAAGATCAAAAGACAAGAAAAACACAGTGTTAAAATTAGGCAAAATAGCAACCTTGGCATAGATATCAATGAAAATTCTATCAATTTTGGGGCGATGAGGCCCAGGTTCCTCTGTGTCAGGAGGGGGAAAAAAATTCTACAAAGGAGGCAGGACAATATTTATACCAAAACAAAGGGCAGAGAAAAGTGCAATCAATTTAGGAAAATAGTAATGAAACATGGAAAATTAAGATTTTAAAAGTGTTAAGAAGGATGGTTTGGAATTAATGTCATTAACTAAACAAGATAAATTTTTGTGAGTATGAAAAGGTTCAAAGAAATTCTTAGGGCCATTAACTAAATAAGATAATTTTTTATGAATACGAAGTACTTTAAAGAAAGGGTTTATATTGTTAACTAAAGACAGTATATATATTTGTGAATGTGAAAAGAGCTTCAAGGAAATCCCTAATGTTATTAAATAACAAGATAAATTCTTGTGAATGTGAAAAGAGCTTCAAGGAAATCCTGAAGTTTTTTGACATTTGAATCCAGTCCTTCCTAACATTTTAAAAATACTAATATCCTAATTTGTCATATCTAATTACTATCTTCTTGCATAGTTAGTGCTAAGCTCATGTTTGCTTTGCTACCTTCTTTGTTTTTGGAATAAATACGGTCGTCACTCTTTCCTGCTTTTGCAGGTTTTTATTTTTTATTTTTTTTCTCTTGATGAAGAGGGACCTATGCTTGATTACCTCATAAAACTAATAGAGTTTTGATTAAAATCTGCAATAAACATAAGGTTGTTATTTTGCCTAATTTTCATATCTCAGTGATATTGTCCTTGACCTCCTGTAGCCCTGACTTATCATCATTCATCTTCTTCTTGTGAAGCTGTATTGAAGTCCATAAAAATGACCCCAAACCATAGATGAGCTGATCAATTGTGGTAGGATAGGTTTCAGAAGTCCAATTTGAGTGGGTTGTCAAAAAGTTAAATCAAGAATTTGTTTCATAATTTCCTTGAATGGCACGTTTTTGTGTAAATTCAAAATGTTTGAAATAAAAATCATATGCTATTCAAAATTTAATCAATTTTTTTTTTTTTCATTATGAAGACCCTGTGAAATACGGTGAACATTTCAACCTGAATCATACAGTGTATGTACCTGTACTCATAATAATGCTTCAAGTATCTTTCCCCCCCCCCCGTTTTTTTGTGTGTGGTTTTAAAACTTTTAGAAGATCTGAAAGAGTTATGAGATCTAAAAATTAATATTTTTTAAGAATGAATTAGATGCGTAAGTTTCATTGATGAAAGTCACTAAACTACAGTCACTAAGAAGACAGTCACTAAGTTTAAAAAAAAATGCATAATTTAATTATTAACATAATATTCATTTTTTATGACTTTTGCCTATAAAAGTCAGCTTTTCTGTCCTCTTTATAAGGTATTCATTTGCAACAAAATAGTTAGTTATTATATTTTTGATCTTCTTTGTCTGGTAGTTGTTGTAGACAAGAAAATGCTGCAGTGTTCTAAGTCAGTAATAAATGGAGAGAATAATATGTGGACTCTAGAATGTATCATTTAGAATATATGAATAAGTTACTTTTGCAATATGTGATTTATCATTATCCTGCTGAAGAGTTGCATCAAATCTGTTGATCGATGCAGATGGTTTGTAATGGTTAAAGCTTATTTTAAACTATCTGTTTGATGACAGTGGATGTTTTCAGCAATGATTTGGTTCAAAATAAACTGCATCTTCCGCATCTTACCATATACAGAGCACTATCTTCTTTGGATGTAGTTTGAGACTTGGTTTCTCTTTTGGGCTCAACAGTTATCTTTTCTGAGTAACATTATCGAAAGGAACTGAGTTGTGTTCAATCCCCACTATAAGAAAGGCTCCATTTCATTGTCCCTTATCAGCATCTTCAGTTCACCTCTTTTATCTTTCTTAGTAGCCCATTTCTAGTCTCACCATCAGGATTAAAATTTCTTCCTTGGAACTACATCAAAATTTTTTGTTGATAATCTGGTTATACTGGAAAAAATTTCATAAGCTTCCACCAAGGCAAAATGCATTAGTATATTGGATTTCCATGCCAACAAAATTTGGAAAGCCAGGTTTAGAGAATAAGTTGCCTTTGATTAAAGCCATGTTAATTCTGTAGATTTTAGGAAAGAAAGAGTCAAATCTATAGTGATCTGTAAATCTTTGAATTTTATAATATCGTATTCTTATGAATAAAATTAACACAATGTTAATTGAGTTGAATTCAAAAAGAAAGGACATATCAAGATTATAAAAATTGGAAAGTTTTCAGTCAAAGAATTAATTTTGTGTACTTAAAAAATGTTAAAATCCTTCACCGATCAACCTAGTATTTCTAGTGGTAGGTGAAAGCAGAGCCTTAAATCAAGTTTGGGGTAAGAACATAAATTTGTTTCCTTACTTTTTATCTTCATGTTACAAGAATGAAAATTCATTCTTACAATGTTTATCACCCGTGACAACTTTATTTGGATACAACTAGAAATCATCAAGGATGTCGACTGCAAGATTGAACTACTCTGTGAAATCCATCTGTTTGAAAATTTCTCTTTCTTATAATATCACACAACATGAGGTATCTTAACAAATCTTGTCTCATATTGTTGCTAAATCTTATTTATTGCAAATTACTAAACTTGAATGATGGCATATTTGATAACAAAAAGGGCAACACAAACTACAAACAATACCCTGTTGTGCTATCAGTATTACAAAGATGAGGCTGCTTGCTTATAGTTAAATTTCAGATATTTAGAAAAGTAAGTTTTAATTTAAAACCAAACACCTAGTCAGTCTGCATCACCTTTAAACTTGTAAATCACTTAGCGTCTATATTAAGCCTTCAAGTAATGCAACAAGAATAGTTCAACAAGACAGTGCCAATGCAGTGATTGCCTCAACAGGCATTCACTGCGTCTTCTAATTTAATTAACTGTTACTGTCTTTAACACAGTAACTTATCTAATTAACTGTCACTGTGTCTTCTAGTCTAATTAATCTAATTAACCTCAATTACTGTGTCTTTTAATCTCCTCGTCAATTACTGTGTCATCTAATCTGTGTCATATGCCTTTAAATTCGCTTAACTTTCTGGTATGGGTGAAATATATGACAGAAGCCAAGAAATACAGGATGAAGTTTAACTCAAACACTGATTATTAGTAAAACTTAAGAATAATTATCTCAAGGTTTGGCCAAAAAAAATCTTTTTAATTACTAGAGAAATTTATGTAAGTTTTATGTTTCTATTATTCATACTTTCTCATACATACAATATTTCATAATTATTTTTTAAAGATATCAAGAGCAGCTTTCTATTCCTATTAACGCTCTCAGAGCTGAAAGAAAAATTTCATGCATTGATTATTACAGCTTGCATTTATTTTTAAGCGTGAATTATAATTACCAAAGTAAAGGGCAGTTTTGTTTTGTTTTCTAGTTTTCAGTTGATTAAGTTGAATCCTTTTAAGTATTCCTATCTTTTTATTTTGGGTTATTCTACAAGGTTTTTATGTGTAATGTGAATTGTGAATTAGATATCTAACCTTATGGCTCTTGAACTTCTTTAAATAAATTAACCCTTTTAATTTTAAGGCGAGCTTCCCTGATGTCTCCTCGTCAGATATTTCAGCAGTCTAATATGACTCAGAAATGGCAACGAAGAGAAATTACAAACTTTGAATACCTTATGTTTCTTAATACCATAGCTGGTGAGTACTTGCATTTTTAGACATGTTGCATGCTTTTTTTCCATAAGGATAATATTTTATTCAAACTCTTATTTAATAAAAGTTTTCTAACCTAAATGTTGAATTAATATTCCTTTCAGTAGAACCACTCTATGAGAAAGGTCTGTTTGTCTTTTAATTAGTTACATGATTTTGTGTTCAAACCAGTCCAAAGCAATAAGCAAAGAACAAATATATTGGGAGTATTAGATTTTGCAAACACAAATTAATCAGAACTATGCATTGATTTAGACGGCTGGTAGGAAATGAGAGGAAAGGGATTTTCTTCTTTATGAAGAAATTTTGTCTTAAAATACATTCATATGAAATTGTACCACACTTTGCTTCTTGCTTCTGTAATAACTCACATTATTTTGCCTTTGTAATTATTGCTTCTGTAAAATCATGGAATTGCATTCCATTCTCTTATGACTGAATCACTGTTTGACTTGACTTGGCTACCAGTCAGTGTTTCAGTTCATCTCAGATATTTTTGAAAAGGTTAATTGGAGGTTCTTTCATGGACTCTATTTCTTTAAATGGGTGTTATCATGTTGAAAATTCGAAAGGCCTCCTAAGGAAATTAAAGTATTGCCACAGTGCTGTAGAAGTGCTTAATTGTCAGCAATTATTACAGTACTCCAAAATCAAACATTATCACAAGAATCAAAACTACTGAAAACAATATTTCTTTTGAAAAATTTTCTCTGTTTATTGTTTCTTTTACTCTATTTAAAAGGGTTTTAAGTATATTTCATAAATATATCTAACTTCTGAAATTCAATATATTTCTTGAATAGTAAAATAAAAAATAATATTTTACAGGTCGGACCTATAATGATCTGAATCAGTATCCAGTGTTCCCGTGGGTGCTTACTAATTATGAAGCCCCTGAATTGGACCTCAGCCTACCTAGTAACTATAGAGATCTTTCTAAGGTAATTAATGATTGTAGAATTTTTTTCGTCTTTTAAAATTTTGGGAGCTATTGGGATATTTAATTAAATTATGTGATTATCATAATTTTCACTTAATTTGTTTTCCATGTAATTTTTTTTTTTCAAAATTTAAGTTTTAAATGCTGTATGTTAAATGCTTTTGTTTGTGTTTAAGCTATGATTTTGTAGTTTACAAAACTGTTATTTTCTTCTAAAGAATGTATTCTCAATTTGTATTCTCATGACTATAAAGTTAAGGAATATATGATCTGGAATATATTTGTTTTATAATATTGTGGTAAAATTTAACCTACAGGAGAAATATAGTGTGCACAAAATAAAAATAAAATGAAATGAAAACAAAAGTTCATCTATGAAAGTGACCTATGGAAAAAATAAACCAGAGATGACTTATCGAACATGATACTGATTGTATCATAAATGTCATCCTGATAATTATAGAAAGATTTAATACGATGTATAGTTATGCAAATGGAATTCTGTCCAAAAATTTGGAATGCTGATGGTGATGTTGTCCAGTGATTCCTGTTGTTGTTTTTTATGACTAGTAATATCAGACTCACTTGTCTGACAGTAACATTAGATCCAAGTCCATGAATTTTATTGTGCAAAGAGCATAGGATTGCATCTGTCATTGGCATGGGTCAGATAACAGTATGACTTTGCCCAGTTCCATCCCAACTTTGAAATTTGGATCTTTGGGAAATTTGTTTAAGGGTTTTTAATCCTTCTTTCTGCTCTACAAATCCACTTGAGAGGACTTTTGTATTTTAAGTGTCTCTTGCCCCACTACACTTACAAACATGCAAGTCTTCTCCAGAATTCAAACCCGGGCCTAAGGATACAGCAGTCAGCAATGTTAACCATTATACCAATCAGGATGGCCCAGTAATTCCTTAAAAAAAAGAATTCCATTCTTGAACTAACTTTCTTAGCTGTTCTGTGTTTTATAATGTAGCGCATTATTAGTTCTATGTTTTATAATTATAGTAGTATGTTCTGCAATTCTAGTCTAATGATTAGGCTCACTAATCCAGATGAAATATATATTATGGAGATGAATGTTATCATTCATAAGTTGGAATTCAGGAACAATTGGCACTCCTAAATATCCTTACATAACTGATGCAGGATGACATTTGTATGATTCTCAGCCATTATGATCTGAGTGGTATGGGTTTGGCCTGAAATTTTAGAGTTCTCCAAAATATCATGGATAAGCAGTATATTCTTGATTATAATTCTAAAATGGCCCTTTCATGGACTGCTTTCTTTCAATACACATCCAACTCGAAATCGGATTATCAAGATCTGGCAGAAATTTTCATGTGTAACAGATGAGAAAGCCATCTCTGAACGTGGAATTTTACATCCATCAGGTTAAAAAATGAAAAATATTATATTTTTTAATAAAGATAAGTCATTAAAAAATAATTTAGTATTTAAAATTTTATTTTTGAGCATTTATCTAAATTATTGCTATTTTCTCTGAAGTTACTATATGTTTTTGATTTTTTATAGTATAATTCTGTAGTTGAATTAAGGCTTTTTATAAGCATTATTTCTAAGAGGCTAATTTACTGCAGTAATTAATTGTGTTTATGCTTTATTTATTATAAAATGGCATATTTAGTTGGGAATACATTTTTGAAATTTGAAATTTTTGATTGTTTGAAACTTTAAATTTCCTGTCTCCTATTTCCTTTGAAGGAAGGTAAATTAAATAATTTTATAAAATTAGTAGGTAGATGCATAGTATATGATGGTATGTGATGATGTTTTGTAATTTGTTGAAATTGATCCAAAGTTTATCTGTAATTGATACATCTAAAGTGTATTTCATTTAATTTTGGTCTCTATAGCCTGTAGGAGCTCTGAATCCAAGCAGGAAAGCATTCTTTGAAGAGCGCTATGAAACATGGGAACATGAAACAATCCCTCCTTTCCATTTTGGAACTCATTATTCAACTTCTGCTTTCACATTGAATTGGCTTGTCAGAGTGGTAAGATTTAAAATTTTTAATTTGGTATTATTTGTCTGGAAAAAGTTAATCATTATTTATTGCTCTTATTTAATAAAAAATCCGTAATGTTTTCGTAGTTGCAAATTTTCAAGTTTGTAAGCATCCCTTCCATTAATTCACAGCACAGCGTTTAAGTACTAATGTACTATATTTTATGTGTTTCCACTGTGAATAAATGGTTATTTGGATGCATAATTTTATGTTTGTACATATATACAAAAATGTAAGATAAAAAATATGTAAAATAAAACCTCAACATTAATTTGTTTTAGCCCATTAAGTCTTCTATTTAATTGGGTTATTTCTCTTTCTATCCTAAAACTAAAATAAAACCATAGCTGTATAATTGCTAACCCAACTTTTGTATTGGAATTTGTGTATGTCTTCTCTTTCTTGCACTGCTGTTAAAATGCACTTCATCAGTAGGAAGGGGAGGATAGGTAAGATAGATAAAAAAATGGATTGACACTTTCCTTACTACAGACAACACATCTCGTTTCCTAAGAATATTCACTGAGTGCTTGCAACAACATAACTAACAAGTTTTTTTTTTTTTTTTTTGATTTATTAACTTTTCAACGCATTCCGATATACCATACTGTTTTATTTTAATAAAATGTAAAAAGAGTGGAATCAAGGTACGCTATTGCTACTATGAGTATAGAAAAGTTGCTGAACACTGGTATTTCAGTCCGAGATTCAGATCCTGCAAACTGGCTGGCTGCTTGGCCGTTTTCATTGTTTTCCCCATGTGTAATATGTATATGAGTCAGTTCTTCTTAGAAAGTCCTCCACGAAGGCATCTCTTCCCTTAGGCAGATAGCCTTCAAAGCTTTGCCATAATAACGTAAACCAAACCCCAGGAGATCCTTAATAGCACTTGCATTATGATACTGTACATTTCATAAAGGATGATTGGGTTTATCACCAATAATAATTATCTCTTTTTCCTGAGTAATGGATGCATAATGATGCCTGTCAAATATCATTATCCTCCATGGCAATGTGGTAGTGTTATATTGTAAGTGCTGTGTTAAATTTCCTGCGGTAATGGCCAATGGGAGTTATTGAAAATTTACCACGTTCTCCTGATACAAGTTTGTATAACTACGACTTCCTTTTCAAAATTAAAGAACCACTGTCAGAGATACATTACTACGAGGCGTATTCGGAAACTAAGTACCGTTTTGAAAAAAAAATAGTAAAACAATTTTCTCGAATCCAATTTTATTTTTACATGAAAATAATGTCTTAAACTAATTTTTCAACATAGTTTCTGCAGTAATCAAACCTGTCATACGTGACCAGTTTTGTATCCTCGTCAAAGAAACTTCCTGCCATTTCGATAACAGTGAGCATTTTGGAACCCATCGGGAACACTTTTGGATAATTCAAGCGGTCGACACAATTTCGAACAAACATACATGAAATTGTGGAAATGCCTCTGAAAGATTGTCATTGTAAAGCATCTGTTCTCATGAATTGCTTCATCAACTTTCCTTCCAATCATCGTGACACAAAAGGCCGACCACTCCGAGCCTCGGCGTGGACATTGTTCGACCTGCATTAAACACTTACACACTTTCTCACCATTCCCACTTATCGTGTATTCAACCAAACCTTCTACAATAAATTTCGGCGTTTAACATTCCTCGCGTTCAAAAATTAAACCGCACGAATCTCACAGTCAGCGGGAGAACAATTGTCTTAAACATTTTGAATGTGCACAGGAGACTGAAAACACAAATAGAGAAACCAAATGCGACAATTGAAGTCAGTGAACAAGAAAGACTAGTGCGCATGCCCGGGACGCCTACCACAGCGCTGCAACGGCACTAGAATGAAACGGTACTTAGTTTCCGAATACGCTACATACAAAAGAGAGGAGGTATCTGTGTAGGGTAGTCACTGTGGGCCATCAACAAAAGCAGATATGCTGGTGTTATGATGCTTTCCAGTAACCTAGTGGAAGATTTTAAACATGGAAGGTGAAAATATTGAGGGAATGTTAAATGTTTGTATTTTTCAGAACTATTGATGATTTGCAACAATCTTAGTTAACTATTCACAAAATGTTAATATGATTTGTAGTAAATATGAGTATATATTTACCATAAATCACAGTACAATTTAAAACATTTTAAAAACAATTCCTTTTATTTTATTTATAGTTATCAAACCTCCTTAGACATTAGATAGTGGTATGTTTGCTCACAGATGTACAATCTGTATCTAAAATCATGTTAGATTATTATGCAGTTTTTCAGTGTCATAGAAGTACTAGAGTTTTTGAAAATAACATTTGGCAGTGCACAAAGTTTTCTGTTGTATGATTTTATATTTATATTTATGCATTTATTGTTCCTTACATTACAGGAGCCATTTACAACCATGTTCTTGTCTTTGCAAGGAGGTAAATTTGATCATGCCAACAGAATGTTCTCATCTGTAGCTCAGGCATGGAAAAATTGCCAACGTGATACATCTGATGTCAAAGTAATTGCAGATTTTTCTTTTCATTTTCATTAGTTTTTATCTGTTGCATAATGTTATGTATTTTAGTAGTTTCTCCAATGATTGTGAACTCATTTTAGGTAGAAAGAACTAAAATATTCTGAATATCTGAAAATGTTTAACATTTTATATCTATGAGCATGAGCATACTTTAAAATTGTACATGCTTAATTGCACTTATGAAATCTCAAAGTGTCTGTTATAGTGCAGTAAAACTTGTTAAATGTTCTTGTGCAATGCTTGTTATGAAATTATGTTTTTGCACAACACTGTATGAAGATCTGTAAGGTATATAAAGTTTCTGACATTTTTAATGATAAGCTTTAAATGCTGTGATTCTTCTCGTGCCCTAAACATTTGTTAAAAATTCTCAATTTTATAATTTAGGATGTTCTTGGTGTTTTGTTCGCATCTATTGTGTATATTAGTTGTGTCATAATGGTAATTCACTCTTGCCCATACCTAGTGCACAGTATCCACCGTTTACCATGGTTACTATTATTCTGTATGCTGTTAGCCATTATCATTACTTTTTTTAAATTTAAAAATTTAGAGTTCATAAATAAGAAAAGAAGCACCAAAACCGTAAAGATTATATCATGGTCAAGTTCAACAGCCAAAATGTTCTTGCTGCGATTCCTATAGTAATCGTAATCTCAGTCACAAATACATGTGTGCAGTCCAGGCAGAGATTTTGCTGCCTTTGCAGTACTTTGGAAAACAAAATTTGTTATTGTTGCTTCATTTCCTAAATCTGCACATGATATTGTTCAATTCAGATACAGTTTTTTTAACCTCATTATCATTGCTCAATAATAAACTTATGTATTATTATCAGTTTTCATTAATAGGCAAATACCTTTGCTCATTGATAAGCTTGGTAATTAGAATGCCTTATTTATATGCATATATAAAAGACGGAATGAGGGAAAGCATATTGCATACGTGGAATGCAGCTTTTAGTTCATTTTATTAAAACTTTATTTGTTACTGTTGTGGCTTGTCTCAGTTGTCAGACAGTAACATCAAAACAACATCACAGAATTTACTGTAGCAAAGAGAGAATACTAAAAATTAGTATGCATGATGCATCATACCATGTCTGTAAATGTTACATGAATGCCTTGTTGTTTATAGCTTTCTGTATTATCTTAGTTTTCATGTAATTATAATAGTCTTGGAACATAGTACTTGCAGTTAAGGGTCCATTATTGCATGCTGTTCTTTTTTTAAAGTCCAAACCATAAAAATTGCTATAAGATTAAAGAAGTATTACATTCAGAATAATAGTGTGCATCACAATAGCAAAAAAGTACCCTTATTCTGAAAGTACTTATGATTCGGATAAGTTTTAAAATCTCACATTATTTATTATTTAACATTTATGGCTTTAAAAAAAATCTTTCTGTTCTAGTTAACGATCCCAATTCCAATCCATCTTTGCTTTTGGCTTTTAAAGAAATTTTGCTTTAGTTCTGGTTTCATCAACAGATGGCGCCACTTGCTTATTCTTGTCCAGGCTTTCTTAACTTATCTAATCATTATTTCCTATCTTGTTCATTTGCGGTTTTACAGCTGAGGATGGTGGTTCGGTAAAACCATCGAAACTAGTCCTGTGAAAATTTTGAAAATACAACAATGATTTTTGTTGTTTGACTTCTGAATTAGTATTTGTTCGGCGTGTTATTGTATCTTAATTTATGGCTTTATTTGAATGCCATTTAGTTTATTGTGTTTATTATTATTATTGTGGGAATCTATTCATTAAACAAATAACTGATTGTAAATTCTCAAGCTGATTTATAAATTTTATAGTCTATCAGAATTAGAGAACATTTTTATTACAGGAATATAATGTTAAATGTGTTAATAAACTGCAGAATAAATAGTTTTTTTTTTTTTTTTTTTTTTTTTTTTTTTTTTTTTTTTTATGAAGTTTACTTTCTCTCTCTCTCTTTTTGTGTGTGCATCGGGGAGGAGATTTTTTGAGGCATACATCCCTTAAAGTTTGATTACATCTTTTACTTTCGTATAGGAATTAATTCCTGAATTCTTCTACTTGGCTGAAATGTTTATGAATAAGAATGGTTATCAGCTAGGCTGCCAAGAAGAAGGTACACCTGTTTCAGATGTGGTATTGCCTCCTTGGGCTTCCACGCCTGAGGAGTTTGTCCGTATTAACAGAATGGTAAGATATAAAATATGCTGTTCAAACATATGTGTGCACATATACAAGTGGAAAAAAATCTCTTTTTTTTTTTTTTTTTTTGTGAGCACTATTGTAATAATAATATATTTGAGTTATACTTTTAATTATATTACTATTAATAACTATGTTGTTTTACTAATATAAATTAATAGTAAAATAAGGGCAAAATAAATTAACTGTACTTATGAAACTTGTTAGCAAGCATTTTTTCATCAATAGAAATTGATTTCATATTTATTGCTCTCATAAAAAAATAGATGTACAGATGTATACAATTTTCAAGACTGAACGTGTGCACTTTAAAAAATAAAATTCAACATTATATGCAGCCAAAACTGCAAATAATAATACACTCATTATACCTCAGTGGGTTAAAAATGTAAAAGCTTCATATTTCTTTAAGCAAAGCTGAAGATACTTGTACATAATAAATACTTTCATAGCACCAGTTATAAATTAAATAATAAATGCTATTTTACTTAGTCCGTAACCATTACTCACCAAACTGAAAAATTTCCTAAATTTCTGTCAGGAGCTTGATTTATACGAACAATAGGCATGGGAAAATGATTTAAGTCAATAAAGTTGTCCTCAACCATCTCCTAAAATTTTATTGTAAATTATTTTACTCTAAGTTTATTTTTACTCATCGAAGAATACTAATTAATATGTTTGCTTTGCAAGGATAAAACATTTGCTGAATTTGCTATCAAATACCTTTTTATAAAACTCTCTACTTTGGTTTTAAAAGGATTATCTATAGAAATTCATGTTTTGGAAGGATAGTTAAGAGAATGTTGTTGTCTATGACATATATTAAAATTGTAAATATAATTATTTTCTTTAATTTTCCTTATTCTGAGAAACTTTCAAATTAATTGATATTCTTCGAAAAAAAAAATATTATGTCTTTGTTTTTCAGTTCTTATTAGGGTAATGATAGATTAATATTTCTTTATATATAATAGGTAGAAAAATATGACTATAAATTTTATAGTCTATCAGAATTAGAGAACATTTTTATTACAGGAATATAATGTTAAATGTGTTAATAAACTGCAGAATAAATAGTTTTTTTTTTTTTTTTTTTTTTTTTTTTTTTTTTTTTTTTTTTATGAAGTTACTTTCTCTCTCTCTTTTTGTGTGTGCATCGGGGAGGAGATTTTTTGAGGCATACATCCCTTAATGTTTGATTACATCATAAAGTACTAAATTAATAGCCGATTATTTTATCTAAAAATTTGTTTTCAATTTGATCTTAAAAATTTAACCGTAAGTAGGCTGACTTTTAATAATGTGTTCATTTCTTTTTTGTTAGATGAACTGAATACTATTATTAATAGCTCAGAAGACCTTTGTTTATGTCTGATAATTTTTAACTGGTATTACTGTTTACATCTTTAAATTCATATTGTACAATATACTTTGTAATTTGTTGGGTTATTTAAAATAAGCTTCTGTCTTTCCTCTTAAAGAGATAATATTTTTTCATTATTAGGGTAAAGTATCAGCTGAAAGTCCTAGTAATTTTAATAAGCCAACTCATAAAAACTATTCAAAATGCATTTTGTTGTGTACATATTGAATATTTGCATTAAGCATCATGTATATAGAAAATAATGTTTCTTAATTTAAATTGAGATTTGTTTTGTTTTAGGCTTTAGAATCTGAGTTTGTCTCATGTCAACTTCATCAGTGGATTGATTTGATATTTGGTTACAAGCAAAGAGGTTTGTTAATTATATGATTAACTGCATTTTAATTGCATTTTGATTAAATAATAAATAAATTTTAATTTTACTGCAGAGAATAGATATGAAAATAAAATTTTCTGATGCCATTTCTTTACTTTTACAACATTAAAAAATGAAGTGTTATTTTAGAAAGCAGCAATAATAAAATGAAAGTATTAATATGAATTTAATTTTGTATTGTTTCTGTGGTTTATTTCAGAATGTAGTTTTAAAATAGTGTGATAATTAAATTGGTCATTAATAAAGTTATAATTTTTAGGCCCAGAAGCAGTTCGAGCAACAAATGTTTTTTATTACCTAACTTATGAAGGAAGTGTTGATCTTGAAAATATGAAAGATCAAGTTATGAAAGAGGTATGTTAAATTGTTAAATGATCTACTTTAAATTATCTCTATTTGCATGAATGTGCAGTAAATAGGTGGTTTATTTTATCTTTGTTCTGTAAACTTATGTGAGAGATAAGCTGCTAATACATGTCAGTGTCTGTGATTTCCCCAGAATGGGCTAACTTATTTTTGCTTCTATTGAAAGCACTATTTGATATTTAATATATTTATTTGTCTTAAAGATAAACATACCAGTGTAAAGTTATCCCCCCCTCCAAAAAAAACATATGTTGGCATAGCTTGATTTAAAACTGTATGGATTTCAAAGACATTATTAAATAAGACAAATTAAAATAAGGACCTATTCTTGTTGCTTTGAAATTTTTAGAGTTTTATTTAAAATCTGTGCTAATGTAAGTTATTTTAAACATTTAATATGTTATATTCTTCATCTGTACTTTGGAATTTTATTCTAGATTATAATAAATTTTACTGCATTGTTAATAATCACAGTTATATTTTACAAAATAATATAATTAAGCCTTATTCTATTCTATTTATTATTATTGTATGTTGTCTATAATAAGATAGATTAATTTTGGGGGGACGAGGGAGTATATTTAAAGTATTAATTCTTTTAAAAATTATTTTGTAAGTAGGTTAATATTACACATAACTAATTCAGTATAGTCTAAATTACTAAAATTTTAATATAATCTGAATTATTGTACTTAGGTAGAGTTAATCATATGCTGTTTTTAATATGTTATTTCATGCTTCTTGTAAGAAAATTGTAAGAAAAATAATAAGATAGATTAATTTTGGGGGGGGGATGAGGGGAGTATATTTAAAGTATTAATTTTTTAAAATTATTTTGTAAGTAGGTTAATATTACACATAACTAATTCAGTATAGTCTAAATTACTAAAATTTTAATATAATCTGAATTATTGTACTTAGGTAGAGTTAATCATATGCTGTTTTTAATATGTTATTTCATGCTTCTTGTAAGAAAATTTTCACTATTTTTAATTTAGGCTATAGAAAATCAAATTAGAAGTTTTGGCCAAACACCATCTCAACTGCTGATGGAGCCACATCCTCCAAGAAGTTCTGCAATGCATATTGTAAGTTGTCTTTTTATTCAGAATATATTTGCTCTCTAAAATTTGTTAAAAGTATTTCTTTGAAGTTTTAAGATATATTTTCGAACCTTTTGGGATTGTAACCCATATCCACAGATTTATCTCAATCTGTGTAATCATGCTTGTTATTGCTTTGAGTAAAAAGGAATAGGAAATTCTCATAGCAGTTATGTAAAAATAAAATAATAGTAAATTTATGCAACTATTTTTACTATAAAAAAGTCTTGTAATATCTATAGACAAATAGTGAGAGTATATATGTTTTATACAGCTCACAAATATTAGTAATGCAACAAGTATTAGAAATTACTAATATGCTATTAGTGTTAAGAAAATGATTAATTCTTATTTCTTCTGTTTTACTTCTTTGTACAAAGTAAAATTATTCTAATCCCCAAAAATTTGGAGTATCGCATTTGAACAGAAATATTTATTTTGACTTTTCCCAAATCCTTTTTTTTTATGGCAACTGTATGTGCAGACATAATAAAGAACTCTTTTTCCAAAATGGATTTATAATAGGGATTTTTCATAACAACTGTACATACATATGTATGTACTTCACATAACTCAAAAGTGATTACACATAGAATATTGAAATTTTTTATATTTCGTAATCATTGGTCGTAGCTCCAGTCAGTGTTTTCAGTTACCAATTACAAGTGTTACTACCAGTTATAAGTGTTTTCAGTGATGAAAATATTAATGCTTTTCGCAATGTTAAATTTTAAAAACATTCATTTTTGACAAATAATGAAATCCATATTTTAATGCAGTATTCGGGTTCTGATGCTTATGTTTGTGAAAGTTTTGTAGTCCTTATGAAAAATTAAAATTATAAGAAGTTGGACCCATACTACAAAAATTGACCAGGATATTTAATTTCAAAATTTGCAGTTTTTTATGACATTTTCAGCTTGCTTTGAGGGATAAGTAAATTAATTTAGAATAATTCAAGAAAATAAGTTTGAGTAAAGTGCAGCAAAAAAATATGTACAATTTAATAGGCGGCACAAAGAAGTCATATTATCCACATCAGACTTTATGGAGCAGAGTATTATGCTATATTACATACGTATACAGTATTTCATATGCCAAGATGCAAATACTGTACGTTACGTACTATGCTGTAAATACTTCATTTCTATCTTTTTGTAAATTAAGTTTAAATGTAAGAATTCCTTACTATTATGCTCTAAATATGATACAAAGAGAAAGGGAATATAATGTACAATACAGTCAAAACTCATTAATCCGGACTCGTCGGGACTTCGGCGATTCCGGTTTATCGATTTTTCCGGATTATAGATCATCAGTTTAAATCTGGTAAGATGGCATGCAGAAATTATAAAATTAAAAATATGAAACTAATTTACGAAATAAAGAACAATTATGATCTAAAGGGTATTAAAATTAAAAAAAAAAAAAAAAAAGCTTAATATTTATTTGTTTACTTTACTTTATTAACATTTCTTTCAATGTAAGTTGTTTAAGTTGCTTCGTTTTATGTGATAATACTTTCTCTTTAATTCTATAAACAGACATAATTTCTTCTTCAGTTACAAAGTTCTGCTGTTAAAGTCCTATAATTGCTGTGTCGAGAATACCGACTAATTTGTCAATCGAAATTTTATCGTTTTCAATAACCTCTGTGTCACATTCTTCTTTATCGGAAGCGAATTATAATGACGAGGAATTTGATTTAAATCATATCAAAGACGGAATACATCGAGATGAAATGCTACATTTAGTAAGGAATTATAAGCCAAATAAAATAAAAACTTCTGCCCTGAAGATAAGGATAGTGCTGACAGATTAACTTCCAATTCATTGCATACCTCGTCGTTTCGCCATCCCCCCCCCCCGGGTTGCAGAGCAGCATGAAATTGATAAACAGATTTCGGAATGGTTTGAGAAACGAAGGATATGCCTTTATCCATTTTTTGCAGCAATTCCACTTTTTGTTTAATGGCCTTATAAACACACTTTCGCTTTGTAGATCCTTTACATATTAGTAAGTATATATCGGAAATTCTATTTGACATAATCGAAAGTGTAAGCTAACTTTTATAAAATTGCTCTAACAGTCTGCAAAAAATAATAAGCCGGATCCAATTCAAAGATTAAGGAACAACGCAATCTGCAACATTCAGAGTCGTAGCTAGGGTTTTCAGCGCCTAGGGACAAGTGAAGATTTCGTGCCCCCTACTGCTTGCCAAGAATGGAAAACATTTAATTCTAAAATGTTGTAACATCAGTTTGATGCCCCTTGGATTCTGCGCCCGGGGACAGATGCCCCTCTTGCTACGCCCCTGGCAACATTAACTGAATTAGATAATTTTAGCTTAGCTTATACCGTCCATTATACATTAAACGCAAACGTATTACGCGTATGTGCACATGCATATTCGCAGCCGTAAAAGTCAATGAGACGCATGCGCAGAACGTTTGTAGCTTTGAGGTCCGGATTATAGATCATTCCGGATTATGGGTGTCCGAATTGACAACTTTTGACTGCATACTATTTTAAATTGCTTTATTTAATAACATAGCATGTAGAATACTTTGTTATTACATTAGTTAATGTTGGCCTTTCCTTATTTGCATAATTTAACAGTTAAATATAATCATGTATGTTGCAGGAATATTCTGTTTTGTATAGAAGTCTATTCCAAGGCTTAACTGCAGATATATAAAAGTCTCGATAATTATGCTAGGACTTTCCTGTTATGTACAGGATTATGTTTAACTTTTAAAGCAATTTAAAATAGTGTGTTATATAACAGTAAGCCAAAGAATGTGCATGTCAAAAATCACAGCTTCCATAGATGTAATGTAAACAAGTTTGATTACTGTATCACTAAATCATAGAGGAACAAATTCTCATTGGCAAATTGCCAGGTATACAGAAAATTGAGGAATATGGTACAAAACCGAAGAACTTACAGGATTTGTTCTGGCTTATTTAAATGGCTTATTTAAACTTGGATTTTCATACATGTTTTACTCAAAATAAATAATCCATTAATTAATCTACTTGTGTGAATCACTGATTTGATTAATGTCGATATAGCAGGTAAAAAGAGCAATGTCGCAGAAGTTTGAAGTCTTGACAAATGGGACCCTCAACACTGGCTCGACAGCTATTTCATGCATGAGGTATTAGGACTGAATGAATGTAAAATAAAATTCACGCATATTTTTTTTTCTCTTCATTCTGACAGAGCCACTTCTTCATTGGTGAATTTTTTCCTCCCTTAATTCTCTAGAAGTTCTTTGAGTAAGCAGTGCCACCGTAGCAGCAGTATAAGCCTCTGGGTGAATGAGTGTGCTGGGGCCATTATGATGACAACCAGTCGCAGAAATGAAATACAAATGAAATGTAAATGAATTAACATGGGGCCCTATGATCACGAGACCCTTAGACAAGTGCTTAGTAGTCCCATGCATTAAGATGACACTGATAGTAAGGAATTCTGGCATTTTAACTTAGTCTGGAAAAGGATAAGCACAAAATGAAGTATGATATATGTACTAAAGTATATAAAGTACTGTTTGATTAAAGCATAATATTCTGTTTTAAAATAGGAAAAAAGAATAATTATTCATTTTCTTAACACTAAGAGCATATTAGTAATTTCCAGCACTGATTGCATCACTAACATTTGGGAATTTTTATTATGATAAAAATAAGAATACGGTGAGTGCTTGAAAAAAACTGTGAAAGGATTTTTAAGAAATATGGATACAAAAACTAAGATAACCAAATACTGTCTATCCATTTGCAACCAAAATTCTCTGCCAACCTATTTATTAAATTGAGATACAAACTGTTTGAGGAATTTCATGTAACCTGAGAATATACGTAAAGTTACACTGTAAATATTTCGATATCTGAGTGCATTGGCCACAAGCAATCATGCAGGTGTACGTGAAGATAGATTGGGACTGTTTAAATTTCTCTGTTTCGGCTGTATTGTCAGGTGTTGGCCATTCAATTGTCTTTTAAAACTTATAATTTACAAAACTTAACAGTATTCCTGCCCACCCCCTCTGCTGCTGAGAACTACGTTTAAGTTTGGATTCAGAGGTACTACTGTAGTTAACAAAATGGAAAAGAAATTGAAATGCCTGATATGGTGATAAAATTGAATTATCCCACTCAGCTCATTTTTTTATCAAAAGGTTCCCATATCAAAATTAGTAAATATGTAATGAAAAAGAAAACTTCTCTGTGTATTGTGATAAAACTTGCAAACTTTATAATGTTCATTATGTATGCTTACTTATTCTGTCTAATTCATCATTTTATTATACAGTCATCAAAGTCTGTTAAAAATATGCTTTAAAAATCTTTTTAATTAGTGTGAATATTGTGCTTCTATTATATTCACCTTTCCTTTTTTAAGGAGTAAGGGGCAACTGATTTTTTTAAAGTTATCGGTGACTTTTGGATCAAAAATCTGTAATTAAATTTTTTAATAGAAAGAAACAAAAGTTTTAAAATAAATTTTATTCTTTTATTGTTTTTTTCTAGCTTAAGAATGTCATATGTTTTGTTGCGGGATATAAATAATTGTCCTTGTCTGATAATCTTATGCAATATAAGATTCTGTTAAGTATTAAATTTACAACTGACTTCATGATCATCTGTATTTTGTTTATAGAGTCCAATGATGTTCTCCCCTATCACAGAAGAAGTGTGCATGATAATGAAATTTTTATCCAATTCCCCAGTGTGTCATATATCGGCTAACACCTATCCACAGCTTCCTTTACCATCTGTTGTCACCATTTCCTGCAACCAAAACTTTGCTGTTAATAGGTGGAACCCGTGCTTTTCAGGTATTTGAATATTTTTTTTTGGGGGGGGGGGAATATATATATAATGTTATCTTTGTTTTTAAATGTAAATTTTGATTCAGTTTTATACAGCTTTTAAAAACAAAAAAAATTGATTTTATGATCAAAGGTACAGTGAGAGAAAATAAAACTTTGAAATAATTTTATTCTTTTCTGTATGAATTATCTTTATTTCATATACATGTAATCAAAATATATTAAGAATTAAATTATTTTCACATGAGATCTTCTATATTGTTTTCGTTGTAATATATAGAAAATATTAATATTTAATGTACAGCAGTATTGATTCAATATATGAATACTAATTTTAATGAGTATTACACATAGAGGATGTCAAATATTTTTCACCTGATAATTGGTTAAATGTGTTTATTGCAAAATATGGTGGGTGAAAGAATATTTAAAAAAAATGGTGTTTATTGCAAAATATGGTGGGTTTTATTATTACATTTTTTGGCTTAAACAAATTTCACACTGTGTATATTGTTCTCTTCTGTAAACTTATTCATAAACACCATAACTAGACGGTTTCAATTTTATTGATGAATTTGCTTAACATATTGTAAATCATATCTATTGTGAACATGCCTTCTATACTTTGCACATCCATTCTGTCAAATCCATTTATTTCTTGCATTCTTTTACACTTTATCCAGCTTGCAAATCATATTTGGGTATGTTGGTTGTAGTAAATACATGAGTCAACCATGTCAAGGTAAATAAAGCTTTTCCCTGAAGAACAACTGATCAAACTTCTGCTTTCATGCAAGAATTGCGAATTGAGGCTGAGGCACTAAAAATATATTCCTAGCACTGTACTTGTATGGAAGTTGTTTGATGGAATGAACAATGTGTCTTAACTGAAACTTTTTTCCTTAATAGTAAAGATATTTTGATCTGTTATCTGGTGAATTATTTGTGAACATACTACATATTAAATATGTGTGTGTATTCAAGAGGGAACTGAATCTCGTCAGAGATCTCTAAAATGACTTTTCTGCAGGTCTTTTAAATTGCACGGTTTAGAATTCATTCATAAAACTTCAACATACATCATAAGGTTTAAAATTTTGCTTGTATATACTTTTTCAATGTTGGAAGCAGTGGAAACTGAGAAATGCTGGTTTTATGAATAAGCTTTTAAAATTTGAATTTTTAAGCTCCAATAATGACCAAGTATTTGACTAAGTAGTATATGCCCATGTAGTATAGTGGTTAGGGGAGCCTGACAGTGATATCAAAGGACCCGGGTTCGAATCCCAGAGAAAGCATGGATGTAAAATTGTGTGTCCCTTCATAGGTAGCTTATTAGTGCCTCCACAATAAAATGGCCACCACTTGTGGTAGTCACGAATGCCGCTATAGGCAAGTGCCTGCCATTAGGCGAAAAAAATTATTAAAATCTGGAATTTATTAATTTTTTTTTAAATTTCAAAGATTTGACATTTTTGAAACATTTATAATTTTAATTGTTTGATTTTATTTAAATCAACTTCATATGAAAATATGGTAAATTTATAAAATACATAAGGAAAGGTGAAGATCGAAAGACAAAACTGTATACTAGATATTTTAAATAATGGTTTTGGAATTTATGAACTAAATATCAAAACCACATATACCAAGACAAACAAAAGTATATATGGAACAAAATTTGGAAAGTTCTTAAATTAAGAGCATCCTTTAAGTTAAAAAGAAAAATGTCCTGACATTTGGACTCCCTACATTGCCTTTCAAAAGGTTAAAAGCATTACTTTCCATATGTATATCATATGCAAACATTTTCTTCAATAACACTCAAAGGCTTGTAGAGACATTAAGTATTTTTTGGGAACAGGCAAGATGAAAAATACGCAACGCCTTCGCCGGGAATCGAACCACGAACCTCTCAATTATGCACTGAGCATGCGGACCACTGCACCACGAAGGCTCTCTAAGAAGGCGGAGAAATACCTTATATACTCCCCCTTTTAAAGGGCGACTGGGGGCTTTAGAGAACCCAATCGCCAAATCCTGGGTGAGGAGAATCATCATCCAACACCCTTTTAGTTCAGGCACCACTGTAGAGACATTAGGTATTTTTTGGAAGCAGCCAAGATGAAAAATATGCAACGCCTTCGCCGGGAATCAAACTGCAGATCTCTCAATTATTCGCTGAGTGTGCAGACCACTACACCACGAAGGCTCACTTAGAAGGCTATGGGCTAATGGGCCTAAATGATAGATAAAATTAAGGAAAATAAAATAATTTCAAGTGTTTTTGAATGACTATTAGAAGTATTCTAAAGGCGCATCGCTAAGCTATATGTTAAGTCTTGAGTGAACAAACGTTATTGTAATCTGTAAGAAGTATACTTGATTATCTGAATGTATGAAGGAGTAACCTTAATATAAAATTTTTTAATTTTATTTTAATCTTCAATATGATATGAAATTTAGAATTTCAAATGAAACTTTGCAACTACTTTGATGGTTAATATTAACTATATTATTTTTTGTGTGCATGTTCATAATATAATCATGTATTTAATTTGCCACAGCTCTAAAAAAGTATACTTAATTTTTTTTTTTTTTTTTTTTTTTTTTTTTTTTTTTTTTTTTGTTAGGCCCCCTGCATCAGCCTCCATATTCAGATAATTCTCAGACTTCACCATCACAGTTACCCCTTGCCATGGATCCTTTACTTAGTGAGTGTTTATTTACCTTATGCACATTTTTCAATACTTGTATTTAAATTTTTCCAATATTGTTGTTTTTCACAATTTTTTCCCTAGCTGCAATATATATTTCTATTTACTCATAGTACATTCTGATTGGGAACATATTCATGTTATGATATATTTTATTTCACAAAAAATAGCTTTGAAGTTTTCAAAATGTCTTACATAATACTTAGTATTTTCATTTCTATTTTGTTCAAAAGCTGTAGCTTTTATTTTGCCTGAGAAAATTAAGTTACTGATATGTTTTATTTTGGATAACTAATAAGCATATCGATGAAATCAGTTAATTTTTTGACATATTTTGAATTTTCACTCCAGCATTGCTGCTGTGCCTTCTTAAGTAGCCCACCCTTTAATATCACACTCTATTTTCTGAGGTACCACTTATAATGATATAAAGTATCTGGAGGAATTTTTGTACATTTTTTTCCCAACATTGCATGAATTAATATATTTTTACTTTTATAAATGCATTGCTAAAATGTTAGAAAATTCATTGCATCTTGTTCTGAGAATAACCTCAAGTTTATGTCATCAAAGTATATTTTTTCCTGCTCAAAGTTCCATTCTAATATTACTTGTTTGTAGAATTTCACTGCATATCTTTTGCATGAATGAATTTAAATTTCTTATCAGAAAAACATAAAGCGTGTAAAAAATGCACAGACTTTCCACAGGAACAAAAAATTATTCAAAATTTGCCTTGTTGTTAAATTTTCTAACTTTGGCTGACACATGTTGTTATTTCTGCATTGGGGAGAGGAAAAAATATCAGTAGGTGCAAAAATCAGAATAAGCTTCTTATGGGTTTTAACAAACTTTTTATCTTTCCCCACTTTCTTGCCAGATACAATATTTTGCAAGAAACTTGCTGCAATGTTGATCATATGTTTTGAAAGTAATGTAGTCCTGAAGTTTTCCATAATATTTAAGCATTTATGAATTCAGTTTTTGATTACTTTTTTAAATAGCAAGTGTTTTTAAATTAATACTTACATCGTAAATTATTATTTATTTATTTTTCCTTTCTAGTTATGAATGTTGCTCCTTATAAAAGACATCTCGGAGATAATTTCAGCCAGCGAGTTAAAATGCGTTCTTGTTGTTTTGTAACAACAGTCGACAGCAGATTTTTGATAGCATGTGGATTTTGGGATAACAGTTTCAGAGTATTTTCAACCGAATCTGGTAAATTTTAAAATACATAAAGTTTTTTATTCACATTCATTATTACTTGATTTGATTGATTAATTTTTATTTCTTATGCTTCTAACTAAATACAGAATTGGATAACAAAAGCCATTTTAATTCTCTGTTGATTTTGAAAAAACTGTGTCAATTTCAATGGTGATCAGACACAGGTCTCTCTTCTTTAAAAGTTTCCCGCCTCCTAATTTTTTTGGGGAAAGAGAGTATTCAAAATCTACACTGAACTAATTTTGCCCTTTTGTGTAGTTTTAAATTTTACATTGATAGGTTTCTCTTCCAGTTTAATATAGAATATTAAATTTTTATAAATGTAGCATGTAATTTTGCAGAGCATTAATTAATTTTCTCTGTCATTTCAGCGAAAATAGTGCAAATAGTATACGGTCACTTTGGTGTCGTTACTTGCTTAGCCAGGTCAGAGTGCAATATTACGTCAGATTGTTATATTGCATCCGGTTCTGAAGATTGCACGATTTTGCTGTGGCATTGGAATGCTCGTACGCAGTGTATAGCTGGGGATTTGTTAAATAGTCCAGGTATGTTTAAAGTTAATATTGCTTATCTGCATATTTAGTTATTGATTCTTATGTGCATATAGCAATAATGTTCGTGAAGTATTTTATGATTTCATTTTTTCTGTTGTAAGTCTTCTGAATAATTATCTTGTTCTTTTCATAAAACTAGCTTTTTATCAAAATATTTCATTTATGTCATGTATATGTATGAATTTTTATCGTATATAAGAAATTCTGTATAGTCTTGGCCAAAAATAAATTAGTCAATGCAAATAATACATTTTTATTTAAAAGTTGAGCATTCTCACAATAATATTAGAATTTATTTTCTGCATTTAATTTGGGTATGTGTATGATAACTAGCTGTAACTTCAGCTGCAAATTCTACATCAGTCTTTATAAACTATATTATGAGCACCAATTGTTTCAAATCTATGCATATCCATTAATTATTATCCTTGTATTCCATATCATTGCTAGAATTAAAATGACCTGTTATGCCTAAAGATAATATTCAATAATCCATGCAATCAAGCTGAATCAATGAAGATATGAACATACATCACTTTGGATATTATATTTATTAACTAGTGTAAAAAGTCATTTGAATCTTTTAGACATGGATTATGATATCACAGTTTAAATGTGTGCAATAAATATTACTGCCATCTACTGGCAAACCAAAAATGAAGATGGTCTATTAGTAATGTCCAATTGCATTCTAGCTGATTGGTATTCCTAAGTTTTTTAAATTGTATTGAAAGTACTGAAATCAATTAATTCAAAATTGAAGATCTGAAAATATTTTTAAAACTAAATCAATATTTAAAAAAAAATTATCAAATTCATGATTAGCATATTGCAGATGGCTTCTGTGCATAGCCCCATGCTAAACTCCTTTTTCATCTAAAAAGAATGATTGATAATATCTAAAAAAATAAGTTTATATATCTATCCATAAAAAAATATTCACAAGAAGATTTACAAGAAATGAAACAACAGTAGAACAGTTGTACAAATTTTCTGCAGATGTATCTCTCCCCAATATTATTTTGAAAGATTATAAAGTGTATCACCAATCTAAATTATTAAATAAATTGATGTAACAAATTATTTTAGTCATTAAATCAATTTTGAACTTAATATTGGGGTAAATTTGAAGTATTAATTAATTTATAAAGTGTGCTCCTGCGTCTGTTGTAATGCATTTCAAGTAAGATCAGTATTGTCCAAGATTATTGGTTAGACTTAACATATTTAAGAAGTTATAAATATTATATGTATAAATACTGGATTTGTTTCACAAAAGTAACATAAATTATAATTTACCTATTTTTTCTTTAAATATAAGTTCAAACAGATTTAATATTATGAAATAAAATTTTAATTATAATTTTTTTAATATATATTCCACCCTTTTTGTAACCCCTTTCAGATAATTTACATATGTTAATTAAAAAAATTAATTTATATTTTCAGATGTTCCAACACCTCGAGCAACTTTGACAGGTCATGAAAGCGAAGTTACATGTATTGTTGTTTCAGCAGAGCTTGGATTGGTTGTTAGTGGCTCAAAAGGTATGTGCCAAGTATTGTCTTGATCTCCTTGTTATTTTGATTTATTTAAATATCTAACTATCTAAAAAAATTGTTTCTAATGAAGACTTTATTTGTTCAGATTACAGAGTTAAAACAGTTACATCATTTCAACTATATTGTTAAGATTTTAGTTTCATATTTCATGCCTAAATAGAAAATAACCAGTTCTAAGTGTTAGATAATCTAGCAGTAAAAACATCTTGTTCTCAAAACAGAGAGTTCCTTAATTCAAATTCTAGTTCAGGTTATTGTGACATGTGACAAGCCTTTGTCCACACAGAGTCTTACATTACAATCTTTGCACTCAAAATAAGTTGTTTTTCCCAGAAACTCACTTCCTCTGAGTAGCTTGGGAGCAAGCAATGCATCTTCTTCTCATTTTCTCTTTATTCTTACTAAGAATTAGTGATAAAAAATGCTTAGTCAAAATTGAAGCAATGATGTTTTTGTACCATTTTTTACATCGTATGAAACATGAGCATTACAAATTGTAATGTCAAGACGCCCAAAAACTAATTTTTTATACCATTTGAAAGATTTTCTGTAAGATGAGTAATGACTGAATCACTAATACCCACTCCTTCCATACTTTTATAGTACTCCAGTATACAGCTTGATTTCTTAATACTTTCTCCCATTTTGTAATTTTGTATGCCAGAATCTTCTAGTTGGCATCCATGCATTGTAGTTAAAGCAACACTTCCTTCTTTCTATCTTTAAATGCAATCAGATACATATTTTTACTATACTTGTCTCTACATTGCTTTGTCTCATTGATTTTTATGAAAAATAATTTGGCAGACCTTTCCTCGTTTTCATGATTATGCCACAAACATTCATTTTTACATCACATAAATCTTACACAAGTGACAGTGAAGTGAAAACCCTATCCAGATATAAGATGTATCTTTTTTCCAAAATATCACTAAGCTTTTTCACAATGTTTTTGCCATATAGGCCATCTCTTGCTTGAGATTGGTATCTTTGCCTGTATATGTTAAAAAGTTCCAAACATAATCTGTATCGGATTCACTTAGTTTATATATTTTGATTCCTTATCAGGATGGTTTCGATGGAATATATTATCTAAAACCAAGCCTGCCTTTCCACATACACAAAGATTCATCAATGGACACATTCTTTTTTTTTTTTTTTTTTTTTTTTTTTTTTGGTTTATACACATTTTTAAATTCTCGTACAAGTGGCTCAATAATTGGTTTCTTTTCATCCAATTTTTTACTGCTACTGTCTGGTGTGAAGTGAAAATATTGCAATATCTTAAAAAACTATCTCTTGAGAATCATTTTATTAAAAAATGGTGTAGCACTTATCTGATTATCTGATTTGTAGTAAAGAACACTTTTAGATCCGTTTTTATTTTTTTAATAATTTTAAATGTTTCAGAATGTGAAAGCTGTAGTTTTAATATTTTGTATTTATATTCATGTTCTACCATAAGTTGTTTCCTTTTCAAAAGAAGTTCTTGCTTGAAGTTGATTCTGTAACTTTGTGAGTTTAGTAATCATCTAAAAACTTAACGATGACATTTTGTGTTTGACACAGCATAGGACTTTACACCACTAAACAAAGCCATTCGTAAAAAAAAATTATAAAGCAAATTTTTTCGTAATTCTAAATCGACCCAGTTATTATGTATGTAAATTACTTGCTTGCATTTGAAGTTTTTAGTACATATTTTTTGTAATGTGTGTAATTGAAAGCTTTCTAACAGTGATCATAGTAATTCCTAATAAAGCTTGAGCCCAAACAATTATAAATAATAGTTTCTAGAACAATATTATTAAAGTAAGGGGGATGTAGGTACATCAGACTAATTTAAATCTGTGGAAATCTGTTGGCCTGAACACAAAAGTATTCAAGGATAATTGGCTTGATTAATGCAACTTGGGCATTAGGAGTAGCACAGCGTAGTTAGAAACAATATGAAGAGTTTTAAAAGGAACACGAGAGCTTACACTTTTTTATTTTATGTTTTAAATATATATTTTTTTAAAGCTGCATTAGATAGCAATAATTTTATAAATTTTAAATAAGTGTGTCCTTTGTATTTCAGATGGACCTGTTCTAGTCCATACAACAAATGGAGATCTGCTGCGATCTCTTGAAGCTCCAGAAAACTTTCGCTCTCCCGAACTGTGTGCTTTATGCAGAGAAGGATTAGTAGTGGTCTGTTATGATCATTGCAATGTCTGTTGTTTTACCATTAATGGAAGGAGGCTTCGGAGTGAAACACATCATCATCCTATTCAGGTAAGAAGAATCTTTCAATTTTTGGCTGTTTAATGTAAATAACAATAGTGTTATAAGTAGGAAGATTGTAAACTTTATTTCTAAATAATATAAAAAAAGATAATATAGAAGTATCCCTGTATCCATAAGTAATGTGCTATTATACCCTTCAGATTTGTGTGGAACTGCGGATAATTACCAATGCATACCATTATGCATAATATTGTTGTGTGTTGTACGGGTTAGCAGTTATTAGGTGGGTTGTTGAGTCATTAGGATATTTTTGAATGCAGGAAACATGAAAAAAGAACTATGCCCTCGCCAGGACTCGAACTTGTACCTCTCGAATGCAGAAGTCCGATAACAGATTATTAAAGATTTATATTTTTCAAAGGAAATATTTCAGAACTCTGGAATTTTCCACAGAAATCTTCATACAAGTGTTCACAGTATAATCGGAAGTTACACTTCAAACTTCTAAGAATGTTAAGCACAGTGCAATGCAAAGTGCATCTAAAGAGACAGCTAACTCGGATATCTCAGTTCACATGGAACTAAACAACTTGCAACAACAACTAAGAGCAGATGTTCTCTCTTCGGCCTTAAATTCAGCCGGCCGTGAGATATTTCTAGTACTTTCTGCTTCTCCAAATTACTGGAAAGCAATAGGGTGGAATTACGGTTACAGCTAACATAGTGGTCAATTACATTTATTTGTTTTCAATACATATTACGGTGACACAAGGATCAGACCAGAATGTTACGACATTTGGAGACTTTCGACTATTTCTCACCATATTTGGTGACAAGATAATTCACAACTAAAACCATTTTCAGCTTGCCGATATCTCACCTAACTACCAAGATACCCATTTACTCAATGTTAAGTGCAGTTGGCCCTGCTGTCTTACTTTTCTAGCATAGCCTTCTCTTAAAATTTGTTTATCACTGCATTACACAGAAAAATACAGCAATTTTCTTATAATTATTCTAAAATTACCTATCAAGGTACAATTCATATAGTATTTGTGTAACATAATTGAGTAAAGCTGAATTTCTAAGTATAATATATGTATTAAAATACTATGAACAATAAAAAAAAATAATAGCAAAAAGCGACATTATGCATTTTTAATATACTTTTTGTCCCATATGGATATAAAAAGAAAATTTCTGCAATTTTAGCCTAATTTGAAGAAATGGTATGTTGTATTTTAAATTTTATTTCACAATAATGAAAATGTTGCTTCTCTGTTAAGTGTTACAGAAGCAATAAAACATGGATGTTTATGCTCATGATTGGTATTGTCTTGGCAAGACAATATTATTTGGACTGCTGTATTTCGTTGTATTATGGTCTATACTCTTTTAGTGCAAATTAGCATTTATTTCTTTAATTAAAAAAATATTATATTACCATAAACTGCAGTTGAAACCAGGGATACAGAATTAATAGGTATATGACATGACTAGACAAGTCTACTGTTACTTGTGTAAGTCATATGATAATAAACTGGAAACACATTTTCCTTTACAATTCCATTATTGGATGAGGTGAATATAAACAGAAAACATTGCATGTTATCAAGAACTGTACAGAGATCTAATCAAAGCAAGATCTGAACGATTGATTGTAGAGTTTGTTATTAAAATTATCTAGCTACAGACTCTGTGGGAGCAACTGGTTTTCTTTGACTTAGAAAGTATATCATCGTTCTAATATGGACATGAACAGACATTAACAATAAATAAAATGTGATAATGGGTGGATGAAAGTTTAACTAATAATGTGTTTTCTCCAAGAAAGTTAAATTATTTTGCCCATGTACGTATTATTTTTATAATTCAATAAAATAAAAGTATGCTTGTATGAATAGTTTTGTGTTTTTGTACAATATGTGTTTAAATGAACAGTTCCATGGAGTAAAAATTACATAAACATTTAATTAAAAAGGAGTATGATTTATGTGAAAATGACTTATTGTTTATACTAGGCTTTTATACCTGGAACTGATCTTTTATTTTTATGCATAAAAAAACAAAAGGTGGTCTCCATGTTATATTTTTAGACAGTTAATAAAAAATACAGTAAAAATGTAGGATATAAAAAAATTATGAATTGTTATGTTTTCCCTTCACCAGAACCTGTTTAATATACAAGAATAAAAGTGAATATAATAAGTTTTTGCTTTATTTTTGGTATCAAGCGTATGAAATAAATTGTATATGCATCAAACTATTGGTTGTTTTTAGCATTCACAGTTTCATTTTATGCATTTAGATTCAGTCTTCTTTGCTGATTTAGTGCAGTTTTAAGAGTTAATTTTAATTAATCTTTTCCTCACCCTCTCTTAGTCCTTTTATATTTTATTATTATATATTTATTTATCAAATGAAATGCAAATTCTTGTATCTTTTCAGCTTTCCAAAAATTAAAAATCTCTAAAAAGGATTTTCATCTGTTGATTATATTTAGCTTTGGCTTAATTTTCTAAGCTGTGTAGTAAATTAACTATACCTTCGCTAGGGTTTGAATCAGAAATATTCTAGTTATTAGGTGGGTTGTTGAGTCACTAGGATATTTTTGAATACAGGAAACATGAAAAATGAGGGATGCCCTCACCGGGACTCGAACCTGGACTTCTCGAATATACACTAAGTGTGCTAACCATTACACCACGAAGGCATGCAAAAAGGATTGAGAAAATACCTTATATACTCCCCCATTTGAAGGGCAACTGGGGATTAGGGGATCCATTCGCCAAATTCTGGTGGTGAAAAATTATTATCCACCACCTTTTAGTTTGGGCACCACTGTAGAGTGATTAGGATATTTTTGAATGCAGGAAACAGGAAAAATTAGCAATGTCCTTGCCGGGACTCGAACCCGGACATCTCGAATATGTGCTGAGTGTACTAACCATTACACAATGAAGGCATGCAAAAAAGGAATGAGAAAGTACCTTAAGGTGTGCTAATCACTTACGCTGCAAGATCATGCATGGGAGAAATGTGATAAATCTGTACAGTATTCATTAAAAATGAAAATATTTCGTCAGCATCCTCCCCAGTGTAGAAATTGCTATGAGAAGTATATTCATATCAGTATTTGTTATCAGTAGAATACTGGAAAATGTCTATTTTCAAAATTCATATTTATAAAGCATACTTATCACAATTCTGTTTAAATTATTTCAGTTTTGTGAGTTATTGAGCATGTTATTTTGAAAGCTATTTGCAAATATAATTCACAGTTTTGCATCCTCTAAATATCTAAAATATCCCCATGTAGAATTTGTTTTATTAAAGGGTAAAACTGTTAATTAAAATGATTGTTAGAAAAGTTGATTTTCACTGAATGTGAGTATTTAATTAATCTGTTATTATTATTATTACTACTACTGTAATGGGACAAAGAGCTAATAAATGCCAAGAGCTCTCTCATTTCTTAATTCATCTCTGTTAAAGTCTGTTGTAATGGGGAGAATTAGTGTAAACAATATTCTGTATAGATTACTCAGACAACTTTTTTTCACGTATTATTCTAACCATTAGTCATTTATTATAGTGTTTGACAATGAGTAGAGATGGTGAATACATGATGACTGGAAGTGACAAAGGTATTGTTGAAGTGTGGAGAACATTTAATCTTGCCCTTCTTTATGCATTCTCAGCTTGTGACAGCGGAGTTCGTTCTTTGGCTTTATCTCATGATCAGAAGTAAGTTACAAGTGCTTACATATATTTACATTTTATGCTATTATTTATTAATTCAATTTTGTGTTTTCTATTGCTGAATTTGTTTGAAATCTGTCAATTTTTGTCCCTTCAAACTGCTGTAATGGGCAAGATGTTTACAAAATGGCCACAAACTTGAAGCAATTTTGTTCACTGGAAAAGATACAGATATCTTAGTATCTGTGCTAAAACCATAATTTGTTATTTGAGGTATCATGTCATAGCCTCAAAGGACCCAGAATTGGTGTCCACACTGGCAGAGGAACCGTGGGCACCTTTGTTGACTAGGCCATGTATAGATCAACCACAATTGTTAATAACATTCTACAACAGCAGTGATATGGCCAACCATAATTTTTAGTAGCATTCTGTAACAGCAATCCATTCTCTTTTACACATAAAAGTGGTCATCTGGGAAAATGAGATCGTACAATAGCATGTGGTATATGAAGCAGCTTGATGAACCAACCAGCATGTGTGCTCAGAACACAGATTCATATATTGGTTTCTGAGCTTCAAGTATGCATTTGCACACTTGAAGTGTGCATTTGCTTCAAGTGTGCATTTGCTTCAAGTGTCATGTTGTGATCAAATCACAGAACCATGGCTGAGTAGCCAAAATCGCATGCCAGCTCTAAGGGAATTGAGAAATTAGTGGTGCAATTACTACCCTTTTTACAAGATGGCCTTTCTAGTACCAACAGCAAAGGAAACAAAAGTTGAGTAATTATAGTCTTTACTTCCTAGATACTTACTTCTCCTATAGAGCTAAATTAAACTTTAAGCAAAATAAGCTTTGCTTAGGGCATCAAGCAAATGGGGCACCACAAAATGGTCATTAGGAACTCAAGGCACCATAAAAAAATCTCCATTGCCTCACAGAATGATGCTGTTAAACTAGACCAAGAAAGAAGGGTTGGCTGAACTACAGGAATAAATGTATGTAGAAACACCAATATCCTGTAAGTGCTTAGGGCCTGTAACAACCTTAATCCGAACATGTGGTTCTACGTATGACAGTAACCAAATTTTTAAAAATAAGGTAGAGGATTTTATGAAAACTGTTTTAACATTGAGTAAAAATGATCCACAGATATAAAATCTGGCTTATAATATAGTTCTTGTGGAGCAAGAAGTCCCAATTAGTGACATTTCAGTATACTTTTATGTCATAATGATTATCACATAAGGAAAGATTAATATTTTTGATAAAGCCAATAACTAATTCCAATAATGCATCTTATTTTATGTGGTATGAAAGCATTAATCACTTGAATAAATTTTATTTTGCAGTTACTTCTTAAATTTAGTTAGAAAAGTTTAAATTTTCCTCTCCAATTCCTTTTTCATAACATATGTTTTAAACAAAAGTTTTTTTTTAAAGACTGAAAATGTTGAATTATATTAGACTCCTTATTTATATAGAAGCGTACATGTAAAAGTGCATGAATAAGTCATAATGGATATTTATCTAAAAAGTGTAGAATTACATTAGCAATCATGAATGTTTTATACTGCTCTATGAGAATAATAATAATGCAGTTAAATCAAAGTATAATCAATAAATAATGTATTACATAAAAATTTTGTGATGGTGAGATGATATTTTGATTCCACAATAAATTGGCCACCTCTTCCGGCATTAGGAGTGGCCAATGTCAAAAAAAGACAAATTAGTGCCTGCCATTGATATTTTGATTTGGCTGTGTTTAAAAATATGTTGTAGGATAACAAACAACGATAGTGATAGGATTGTAACAATATGCAATATGAAGTAATCTTTGTTCATAGTGTTACAGATAAAAAAACACCAAGATGAAATAAAAGATTACATACATAAAAATTTTAAAATGCAATTTTTAATATATTTTCCCATAAAATGTTTAGGTTCGTAAATTTTTTGTTCTGTGAACAATAACTGTCACTGTGTGCTCAAGCCTTTTTGAAGCTCAGCCTAATACAAGAAAAAAAATTATTACATTTTTAATTTATAAAAAATATTTGAATTCTTATGTAATGCTGTTTAATTTTTATTTTTTATATTTAAACAAAAAGTCTGGATTTTTTACAATTTAAATAAAAATTAAAAATAAGGCAAACTGCAGCATTATTAATAATGATCTATTCATAAAATAATGATGAAGTACAAAATTAAAAAATTCAAATCTCTATGTTGCTACACTTGTATACAAAAATTTAGAGTACTTTTGCTGTGTGAAACAAATAACAAATTAAACTCAAACCATTCTTTTATTAAATTTCATTTCATTCTAACATCATTTATTTGCTTTTTAAATTTCAAACAAAATATTCCATTTTAGCATATCAGATGAGATACTGTGGCTTATAATGATATTTCATTCTCATATTGCATTTGTTTCAGTGGGTCTATGAAAGGGAATTAAAGCTTGCTGTATTTGATATGCTGAGTGAAGATATGAGTGAAAAAGGTAGATTTTAAGTCTTGAAACAGAAGGCAAGTTAATTAAAACTGCATTGATGGTTTTCAACAAGTTCAGTTTTCAGTATATTATTGATAACTAACAAGTTTTCTGAATCAGTCCTACAATGATAAAAAATGTGTATATATCAAGAAGTCCACAAACAATAATAGTTTGTTTTACCAATCTATTTTAAAGCCAAAAAAAAAAAAAAAAAGGACCTCGAAGACTGCATTTAGTCTATATCCACCAGTTAGCCATTTGTGATTAAGGTGGCAGGTGCAAAATAGTACTTTTGCTGCCATTTGAAATAAAAGCAAGTTTTTCACCTGCTGAAATCTTGGTATTTTAAAAATGAAGAATATAAATTAATGTGGAAAGCCAAATTTGTTAATATAGCACATGCAGTAAAAATATCCTTTTCATACAGTAAATAAGAATAAGTGCACTTCTCCATTTTGTGTTAAACTTTTAATTTTCTTTTTCTTACAGTATGTATTTGAAAGCAACTTATTATGTTTTGACATAAACTATTATATTTTTTCATATAATATTTATAAAAAATAACATAAACTATTATATTTTTTCATATATATAAGTTATTTCATAGCTGTTGTAGCAGAACCAACACATAAATTATACTATTTTCTCTTATTGCTTTTTTATAGATTTCTGCTGGCAGGTTTGGCCAATGGTTCTGTAACAGTTTTTTACATTGATTTTAACCGATGGCACCATGAATTTCAACAACGCTATTAAGTTCTATTGAGTACTTATTTCAGTATTCGTCCCTTAAGTACTGCAGAGACTGTTACCGACACTGCCACACACTTTCTGGTTGCATTGCAGCACCAGAGGAATGTGGTTCATTATCCAAATAGAAACCGGCCATGCAAGGATACAACACTCTTGTTATGTATTTACCTGCAGATAATCGGATGACTTCTAATAACCAGTTATGCAAATCATTGACTGATAACTCTCGGTGATTATCATTTAATGCTTTAGATATTATCGTTAAGTTTCTTTTATGTAATTTTGCACTTTGTTTCTGAGGTGGACTGATGCAGTTATTACACACGAGCTCCGTCACTGTCCCTAGGTACATTTGTAGAGTACTTATGTTGTTGTACAGATATGATAGAACTCTGAACGTCCACAGCGCAGGCCCTCCATCTGTATATATACAATATATAAATAAATAAATATATATATATAAAATACATAAAAAGTCAACATTTTTGACAACTTCTGCCATCTATGAGGTGTTGCGAGATTGCATATTAGTCTGATTTTGTTTCACATAATTCTCACCACAGGGGTGTTCAATTTTATTGATGGCCTATTGTTTACAAGTTAATAAAAGCGATGGTTATGAAGAATATTGTTATTAAACGCTATTATGTTTTGCAATGGTGTTTAAAAAAATCCTATTGTACTTTTCATAGTGAAGCATATGTTGTTAGAATCTTTGTAAAAAGTCTCTATTTGTGTTATTTTGTGTACTTAATGCACCAACATTCGTTACACTCTGTGATACCTCAAGAAACAGATTTCTATTCCATGTATGTTATCTTGCAAAACATTTTAACTTTCTGTATTATAACCGAGTTTTATTGTTTAAAGATTAAAATAATAGAGTAACAAGAGCTAAAGATTAAAACAATACAGTAACTAAATTTTCATTTTTAACCTTTTTTCTGTATAAGTAAATTAATTAGTAATATTCCCAATTTTATTCATTCATGGAAGGAAGTTTGAAATATATTTAAATGTTTGATTGTGTTCTAAATTTAATGACATATGATTATTATGCCACCAAATATAATCTAAAATTGTTAATTGAAACTATTTTAAAAGTGTAATCTAGTCTAGTCTTATGTATATTTTATTAGAGTTAGTTTTCTGTGTGCAGCTAGTTTGATAGAAACTTTCTAATGCTCATCAGGAAATTTTTACCATTGCTGAAACATTGATGAAGTAATTATTTACGCAAATGTGTTGGTAATTTTCTAATTGTATTTCCACACACATGTGGCATAAATGTGGGCATTGGTTAAATTTAAAAACCTAAATTATGTCCTTTCGTAAAATCAAACTGTAATGTGATTTATTTATTTGTTGTGATTTATTTATTTATTTGTCACAGATAAGTGTGGATAAATTTCCCTTCAAACTATTAGTAAATATCTGTTAGATTTGTTGCAATAAAAATTGCTTTCTTTTTTTGAAAAGATATGTAAAACGTTTCCCTGCTCTTTCATTTATGACATACAGTATGCCATTTAATTTTAACTTATTGCACACCCCTGGCTGAGTATTTCTGCCTTGCTCAAAGAGAGATATTAGTTTTTCTTGTCACTAATTCTCCTATCTTTTTCTATATAGCCAGAGATAGTTCTCAAAACAATTTCCATTTGGCTCAAAAATGATTTATTCTCTGTAGAGAGTGCTGTCTATTTGCCCTGTAGCCTATTAGTGTGAATAATTTCTAGTCAATTGCCTAGGGCATTGTGCGGCAAAAAAACTGGCATTGAGCGTCAGTTATATAGAACTTATGTAAATTTTTGTAATTTCTGTTGCATTTCTGAAAGAACGTGATACAACAACTTTTTACGTAATACATAAATTTCAAGCTTTAAAACTTGTAAAAGCTATTGAATTATGTTTTCATAATTTACTTTGAATTTAAATAAATCCAAAAAAACTATTACTATAGTTATTTTTTTCTTTCATTTTAATAACATTCAATATTTTTTGTTACTTTCAAGACAACTGAAAGTCAGGGGAGGTAACTGCAGCTGTTGAATTGTAAATTTTTTACTTTTTAGTAAGAATGAAACACTGTGTATATGTTTAGTTTTTAACTTTTATTTTGTGGCATGTGTGATTTTTAATGCAAGACAACAGTATTTTGACAATAATATAGTATTGTTTTTATGCTAAACTTTCATGTTTCAATTTTCAGAATAATTTTAATTTTGGGAATACTTCCTAAAATATTGGTATTATTTTATAAGTTACTTTCACTTAAAAAAATTCTTATTGTCATCTTAATGTGCACAAAATATGTGTGATAGATAAAATATGGAAGTAATAATATTAATTTTATTAAAAATTCTTTTGGCTTTGTCAATGGGTTAGTTGTGTGTAGTATTAACATGGTTGTGTATTTCTTCATATTGTGTTAAGTGTCACTGATAATCTATAGGCATTACATTGTTTTTAAAATGATGCACAATTTTTACGGTATAATGTGCAAGCCCATTATATGCTGTTCTAGTTCCTACTAGGATATGTTTTATCTTAATCTGCAGTCAAGTAGCATTACTACACAATGTAGTATATTCTACGTCAATATTTATTCAGACAGTAGAGAAATTAACATCAATGGCAGAAGCTATATCACATGTGAATTGAAATTATTCGAAAATGTATGTATTGCATTACTGTCGGTTATAAGACTGTTTTTCAGTTCTTATATTTGTTAGTTTAGTCACATTTCAGGCATTCCTTTAATCAAAATAAAACAGTATCTTTTATTTAGTGTGATTTTTTTAAGTTATATATTGTAAACTAGAGAATGTTATTTAACATTGATTTGTAATTTAATTTTTTGTTTTTGTGAGCTTCATTGTACTTATGTGTGTTTTTTAACATTCCCTTACTTCTTGTAGAAATATTTGTATTTTTTAAAATGATAATTCTGATATATTCTTATATACGTGTGTGCAGTTGAGTGGTTGCATATATGTCCTCCTTCACATGAACACTTTATTTTCTTCTTTTGGGTTTTACCATTTGTCAGTCTCACTTCTTAGGTTTCAATGCCCTTTGTTGCCAGCACAAATGGTATGGGGCTTGTCTAACAATCAGGTGAACTGGTTCAATAAAGCTATTGACTTGTATGTGTCTCTTTCTTTTTAATAAGACTTGCTATATTGACTATACTCATAACAAATGAAAGATACAATGAACTTCTGCTATATTGACTATATTCATAACAAATAAAGTAAAAATATGCAATGAACTTCTGCTACACTGACTATATTCATAACAAATAAAAAGATATAATGAACTAATGCTATACTGACTATATTCATAACAAATAAAAAGATGAACTTTTATTTTAAATGCTCATCTTACAGCCAGCTGTGTACAGTATTTGCCCTTTAAGTGACCAGATTGGCTGTGATGCATTGTGCAGGTGCAGTGAATAAAAGAATGCAATGGAATGTCTTAGAAATATATTGCTGCCAACTGTAGCTGGTTCCTAGCAGTGGGAGCCTGTAGCTTATGAATCTAATAAACATCTGTGCAAGTTACATATCACAAAAAAAAGTTAGGGCCTTTCTCACCAATAATTCAATGCCAGTGCTGCCACAACTACGTACTTTCCCAGTCTGTCTTCCTGTGACTTCTTTTTATTCCCCTTTTTGAAAAAAGACATAAAATACACCAGTTTGTGACAATTGAAACTGTTCAAGAGACCATAACAAGGAAACTGTGCAACATTATGCATGAGTTCATGAAGTGGTATCTGTACCATCAATGGAAATGTCACTGAAAGTGGTGTGTGGCTTCACAAGAGGCCTGTTTCAAAGATTATGGAACACTCTGAGTGGCATGGCCTTTTGGAGCATTTAAAAAGCTTCTATTAGCTATATTTTCATAATTATTTATTTTAGTCTTTGTTTTCATAAAATTATATTCATTAAGATATTTGCATTATTAACGAAAGTAAAAAAGCAAAATATTTTAAACTATAATCTAATAATATGCACCAAGTGACCAAAAAATGTCATGACTGGATAAAGGCAGTTACTCAGGTGGCTGCATATATTTGCTCATACAGGTATCTTCAATAAATTGAATTAAATTCAATAATTTGATGCCAGCATCAGTCTGGTTGCTTTCAGAACTAATCATAATTTCAATTCATGTATCATCTCTTAATTATGAGTATACCAAAACAAGTCATCAAAAGGAGAGGTATATAAAATATGAAAAGTGCTTTATTTAAAATTAATCCTCCGGCGTTATATTGGGATTACAAAATATAAACTCATTATGAAAAAAAAAGTTATTTCTAATAACTTACTTATTTGTGGAGATAAATATGAAACAATTAGAAGTTCACTAGTATGCATAGTTAAAAATACTGAAAAGTCTTTCAAAAACAGAGCATTGTTTCATAATGTTGTAAATATTTAGAAAAGTTTTTTAAGTGTTTGAATTTTCTATTTTATCGAAAAGCAAATATATCGATTGCCTTCAATTCATTATCATTCCTTTTTTTTCCCTTCTGAAAATAAATGAAAAAGATTGGATATCAGAAAGAGGAAAAAATATATTTAAGTATAGTATATTTTTAAACCAGTGCTTCTCAGACTACTTGTAGATTTTACCATACAGCTAATAACTAAAAACTTGATTTATCCCTGCAGTAAAATTTTCTCAAATGGCAGGTTTTGAAATATTGTTTCATAATTATTAAGCATTTATAATAAAATATTAATTTTAAAATAATGTAATTGTGTAAGAATCTGTTTAAGAATGAGGATAATAAAGATCTTCAAATTGTATTTGAAAGTTTATTCAAAAATAAAAGTGGGTTACATTAAAATGAATTTTTCTAATCAAAAATTTACTTGTAATCATGGGCTCATTATCTGGTATATTAATGCTATTGATTGAATCATCAGACATGAACACTCATATCAAATTTTATTTTCAACTGCAAAAATATATTACATAAAATATAGAATACTTAAATATACATAAATATATACAAATTAGATTTCCATTGTTCTTAACAAAGTTTGGCGACTCATAATATTCATAAGTATTTTTAAATCATATATTTCAATTTGATTAAATGGTTACACTTTAGATTGTTAAAGAAATTACATAAAATTGATTAATTATGCAATTGTTTTTATGTAATAGTTGAGAATAATTTTCTCATTTATAAGTATAAAATAGCATTATTTACACTTTAAAATGTGCGTATAACTTTCAAATATCAGCATGAAAGTCATGCCAGTCCATTTAAGGAGTAGGATGAAAATTTATATTTACTGACTGTTTTACCCACCCTTTAATAATCTTTTTACTCCCCCCCCCCCAAAAAAAAAGAAAAAAAAAAAAAAAAACATGCTACAAGATTTTAAAAGTTTGGCTGCACAGTCAGAAAATTTGTTGAATTAGCTCAGTTTCAGTACGTGTCCAACTTTTTTTATGTTGGGAAAATGCACTTATTGAACAACCACAATGCATAATGTAATAAATAATAATAGCTTTAGAACTCTTTTTTGCCACGGGAAAAAATAATAGTTAACACAGGTGACTGAATAAATAAGAAATGTAACGTATTAGGTTCTACAAAACGATAAAGCACAGAAAAAATGTTTAATCCTTACGAAAAGCATAATGCGAGTTATTCTAATACATAACTCTTGGTAGAATGAGTTCTTAAAAGTAAAACATTAAGACACAGGTTTCATAGATATCAAATGATTTATATTTGGGGAATTTACAAATGCAGATTGATAGTGAAACATCAAACAGGAAAAAAAATCTACTAAGTTTTGCCTTTTCTTTTTTAAGTGTGCCTATCAGTGGCAGAATCAATAAAAGAGCTGAACTCTGCTATTTCTACCCAGGCTGGAATTTTAGTGCTTGGATGGCTGCATGGGATTTTTATGGTTTTCTCCTGTAACATGAGAAAGAGCCATGGGGCATTTGCAAAGAGGGCTTTGCTGTCACAAGTGCCATAAGCTGAGTTTTGTTTCTATGCAACTAGACCTCGCTACATCACCGATACTGGTACAATGATTTTGTCTAAATGCTCTAACTGTTCAATTTTATGACAATCTATTGTAAGAACTGATTAATCACTAGGAAACAAGCATGATTTGATCAATTTCGCTGAGTCAGCTGCACATTCGTGCGTGCACAATTTTATCTTCCGTGACTGTCTATGGCTTAAACCCTGTTTTACAGATGTAAATGGAGTTAATGATTTTTGCACCTTAGGATTATGACTGTAATGATGACTATCGTGAGAATGCTTTCTAAAAAGACTTCGTGAAATCACACGTTCCCATAGGCCCATAGGCAGATAGCTTTTCTTGCATTCCTTAATCAGTCGATCAATCAAATAGTCTTGTTGTAAGTGCTTTATGTAAATTGTGAAGTTAATCAAGAAACGCAGAAGAGGTATTTTATTTCATCCCATAGTTGCTCTAGAATGGTCTGTGATACTGAAATCATACATAATTTTGCCGTTGTATTCAGTGGTGCATTTCTCATAACATTGCATAAATTCAAAAATGATGACATAAGCTTGATAAGGGCAAGTAAGGCCTCTCAAGTGTCCACTTTCAGAAAGGCCTCCATATCCTTCTATAATATTTAAAATATATAAAGGTTTAAACAATTTTTTATTATACTTTTTAAAAATATAAAATTAGAAGCAAGAGTAAAATTTTAAATTCCATATTTTAGTTTTGTTAATTTATTACTTTTTTTTAAAAAAAATTTTTCTTTAAAAATTAGATGCTGCCTGTTGTCTAGAGTTATTTTTTGCTACTGATATTGTCTAGTGAAACCTCGATCCATAAAATATTGCTATCTTGTAATTCCAATCTCAGCTGATGAATGAGAATCACATTTGAATTTCAGGATGTCACATGAATGTCATTTGATTATCGCAGGTGGGGTCACATACTTTATTGTTTTAAATTGATAAGCTATTTTATTGCTTTTTTCTTTCTCTCTCTTTTTTTTTTTTTTATTTTTTTATTTATTTATTTATTTATTTATTTTTCGATTTAGTTCATTGAGTTTTATAATAAAATCAGTAAAAATTCGTTAATTTTTTACTTTATCCCCGTTCTTTTCAAAAAGGCAAGACTATGATTTAAAATGTATAAGCTTATATCGTTTTAAATCAGAGTCTTGAGCTTATATCTTATACAGTACATAATAAACTGAAAGATGGAAACAAATATGTAGATAGTTAAAGTGCACTTTTTTAAATAACGTTAAATGAAAAAATAATAAATCTTTAGATTATTTAACCAAATGCCATCCTAATCGGTATAGTAATTAGCGTTGGTGGATGCACTATTGTTGGGCCTGAGCTCAAATCCCGGAAAAAATTTGAAATTTGTCAGCGTCTGCACGTTGGCACTTAAAATACAGGCGAACCAAAGGTCCTCTCGAGTGATTTGGTGTTGCGGAAAGAGGAGTGCAAAGATCCCTGGACCCATCCCCCATTCTCCTTTAAAATTCATCCCTAAGATGCCCAAGGCCATTCAACAATTGACTAAGGCGTACCATCTAACCACCACTCTTGAACAAAGCTCAGATTGCATAAATTTACGACTGTTAGAGAAAAAATTCAATCAGGATGTTGGGGTTTTAATTTTTTAATTTAATATTTAAGAATAGGTTGCTTTTTTTGTACCACCTATTTTTCTCTTGCATACCACCATTTGAGAACCCCTGATATACATAATCATGCAATCCTCACCACGATAAAATTCGTGAACTAGGACTGCAATGATGAAATATTTTAAGTAACTGTTTTCATATCTATCACACTGAGCAGAATTAGAGGAAGAGGAGTGTCTGCAAGAAGTCTTGCATTGCTTCCAGTTCTGTAAATTAGGCCGTGATTATTATTGCATTGGATCAGTGACGAAGACCATACTAGAGTGAGCTGTATCGGGCATTGCTCGTGTAACTGTTATGAGGGAAGCCACATAGAATAGTTATACGATCGAAGGCACAACTTAAATAGTTTTTATTTTGTTTGATGCATCATTAATACTTCTAAATCTGTAAAATGAAAAAAATATCCAGTTATCTCTGCTTTCAGTGTATTCCATAAACTATAATAACTGCATATTAGATGTCCACTGATAAAAGTGTTGTAGCAGAATTATCAACTGATGCATCAAAAATCAACATGGCTTCAAATTTACAGCAGCTTTTCTTTTATAGTCCTGGTTTAATTGTTGTGTGAAGCATTCCACTTCTGTGGCATTATAACTCTCCAAGCTCAAATACACTATAATAAGTAACAGCAATATCATCAACTACATCAAGTTTGTATTTGAAAACACAACCTTAATAGTTCTGTGTTTGTATGATCAAGTGATCATGAAAAATTTTGAGCATAACTTTGAAGGAAGTATTTTCTGTAATGTTTCTCAGTAAATTCAAGCTCATTCCAAAAATACTTAATTTCTCTGTAAAACTGAAATACATCATAATAGTATTTTATGTGTTTTTAGTCTGATAAAAGACGTTCACTATTTGTTTCAAGCTTGTTGTCTTTGATAATAACCTGGATAAATCCTAAAGGTTTCAGTTGTATGTAATTCTTTCCCTCGTGGGCAATAAATGCATTGCAACGAGCTAGCTTCACAATATTTAGTTTTTAACACAGTAGCCCACTATTAGCAGGCATGTCAAGAAAGTTACAAAAATAAACATCTTTGTGGTGGGTGTACTTATTATAAGTGAGATAAACTATAAACTGGCGGTGGTTCAGTCGTCAGAGCAGGGTTATCATAGCCATTTAAGGTGCCGTTGCTAGCCTGGCTGGGACTGTTTGCGATGGCATTTGCTCTCCATGCACTTGTTGGCTTTGTCAATAAACATATCCTCTGGAAAATAAGACATAATTTTTTGAAATAAATCAAATCACAAAATTTAAGGCTATTATAAAAATCATATTTCAAAATACCGTTCTTTAAAGTTCCACATATGCTTTGCATAAAAGAAGAAAAGAAATGGGACAGCTCTATACCTCCCATTCAACTCCTGTCATATGATGACATTTAATTTGCATTCTTCATGTCTCGGAAGCTCGACATAGGATATATATTAGATTTATATATAGCATTTTTCAAACATAGGTATTTTGACACAAAAATCGAACATTTTTGGAAAAGTCAAACTCATTTTTTTTCCATATTTCGATATATTATACCTAAATATTAAATTTTGTAAAACTTGGTGAGAAACGTAAAAATTTATCTCGGTGCAGTTTTTTTCAGTTGCGACAAGGATAATTTTTAGTTTATGGCAACCTGTTTTCCTTTCCTTTTCATTGTGCACAAACGGAAAAAAACGTGCATTTTTCAATCTTTCAAATAATTTTAATAAAGTGCGTAAATCACATTTGTCACTTATACAGAACTCTAATTTTTCGCAGGTATGCCTAGAAATACATCTACTGTAAGGTTAAGGTAAAAATTTTATTAGTTAAAACTTACTAAAAAATACAAATTCTAAAAATAATTCAGAAAATATCTGCGAATTTTATTTGTATTGAACCTACATTTTGAGCTGTGAAAGAAGGAATCAAGTTATAATCTAATTTTAATTAAAAAAATGAGATATTAATAAATATATACTCATTTTAACTAACACCGAGGAACTAAAATTTTGAGTGCTTGTTTTAAAAACTAGCGCGATGTTTACAAAACCTGGCACTTTGGCATAATTTGGGTCTTAGAATCGAAATATGGAAGAAAAAACGTATATCGTTTCAGAAAAAGTCCGATTTTGTGTCAGAATACCTATGTTTGGGTAACATTATATATAAATCTAATATATATCCTAAGTGCGCTTTCAAGTTAAATTTCGCCAATCGGCCCAGTAGAACGAGAGATGTAGACCTTTTTAGCCCAAAGGGGCTTTGTCCCTGAAGGACTATTGTTTTCGTTTTGCGTTGAATCACTGTAAATGTCCGTTTCACTTTTCAAACTGTTGCCACCAAATGTTAGAGTCCTGTCTTATATTTGAAGAAATTAAATAATGAAAAATCTGCATAAATGTATGTCTATTTCTCGCATTGTGATAAAACAACGGTACATAGAGCCATCGAATTTTGAATGACGTAATCCTTCTACGAATATGGGCATGTGGAAGACCAAATTTGAAATTTGGAATTTGTTTTATTATCAATTTCATATTTTGTAAAACTTTAACGAATTTTTGATTAACAAACTCAAGGATTTCAAAGCGAGCAATAGCAATACTCTACGGGGATAAAAAAAACCTATCTCCAGCGCGCGGAACTGTGTATCGGAAATCTTAAAGATATGCTCATTTTAAAATTATTTTGCGACATTGCTATTGAACTGAATTTTATGGTTTAAGTGCAAAGAACGTGATATTTAATAAATAAAGGTAATACACAAAACGTTAAGAAAACGCCCGATTGGATGTAATTTAAAAATCTGAAACCTTTCAGATTTTTTATTTATTTGTTTAATTTTTTCTTTATTTCTTTATTTTTTTTTTTTTTTTTTTTTTTTTTTTTTTTTTTTTTAATGTATAGCGATAGTAATAACTGATAGCCGAAAAGAACCAAAAATTGAATAAGTTTTACTCATTATAAACGGCCTATGAGTGCACTACACTGTGTGACTTCTTTATTTGTCGGTACCTTTCTTTTTGTATATATCCCTATTTCCAACAACAATAGTACATACAGCTCAAGGAACGTAATAATACTGCCGTGATGACCGTTGACAAGGAGTGCTAGGAAAGCTATGAACCGATCTTGATTATCTCTTAGATTACATGTGTAAGTAATTAAGTACAACAGAATGTTTGCTGCGTGGAGGAAAAGTTAAGGAATTTCTAGTTTTCCCTTGCATCACTTATTACTGCATAAATAAAATTTTTTTAAAAACACACGATTTCCGAAATACTACGAAGCATTTATAGTCACCCTTTTTTCATAGCTTATAAATTATTCGTATGAAATGAGATAGTGCTGTAATATCTTAATGCTGGCATTATAAACTCAGTATTAAACATTCGCAATGTATATGACACGTCCCTTGCTGAAGATTTAAATTTTCTAAGTTTATAAATTGATATTCTTTTTTTAAATCAGTGAGAAGTTTTGAGAGCGGTTGCTTATGCTCACCTCTTGTTAGGAAATAACTGTACAAATCTATTTAGCATAATAAAATTTTTTAAATAAATAAAAATAGCTAAAAATAAGCGTTGAGAGTTTTTAAATCTAGTCTCCCTATCTGTCTTCTAGCGTAATTTTATTGACAAGTTCTAGCAACCCATGAAGAATTATGTACTGGACGATAACTAAGGTTCTTATAACCTTAGGCTTCTGCTTTTAAATAAGCAAGGAGGTAGCTAAAAATTGCTTGTTTCACCTTCGGTTTGATTCCCTGCGGAAAGATCTCGCTATATGAAAGTTTTGTATTTTAATATATGCATAATATTAATAGGGACCACGCTTTCCTAGAAAGAACTAGAAAGTTCTTGCATAAGACAATTCCTTTAAAGCAGATATCATGCAGTGTTATAATTGATTTCCAGTTTTCTTATTGAAAAATAAGTTACTCATTTGAATTACTATTAACGGTTATTTCCTTAAACTATTTTTTCTACCGTTAATTTACCGTGGCAAGTCCACTAAGATATAAAAATCCCAGTAAAGGAGGTGGGGTTTATGTACTTCGTTTACTAAGTACCTTACTAATTTTTTTTTCTCACTGTGCCTCTGAATATATTAATTATTTTAACTAAAGGTAAACATAATCCCTAGGCATTTAAAAATAAGATGTACTTTTACCGAGCACATCTACTAAACATGAACATTCCATATTAATTTAGAAGACAAACAACAAAAATCAGCGTTAAATTTTCACAGGACTAGTTTCGATGGTTTTACTGAACCAGCATCCTCAGCTGCAAAAGCGCAAATGAACGAGATAAGATACCAAAAGATCAACACACCAAAAGGCACACTCTTGTTTTAGGAGATTATAAAAATTCTGTTGTCATTCGCTTCTTTCTATTAATTAGCAATAATCATAAAGTTGCACGTATTTTGCAGAAATTTAACTTTCGGGTCGTTTATTCTTCCATCAATAAAATTCCGAGTTCCATACTCAAGGACACCGTTCCGGATATGAATTCCTGGGGTATTTACAGGATTCCTTGCCAGTGTGACTTAATTTACATTGGCCAAACTAAGAGAGCCTTAAAATTTCGCGTCAAGGAACATGAGGCATATGTTATCAAAAAGGAAAAGGTCTTCTGTTGCCCAACATTGTTGGTTCGAAAATCAACTTTCAATTTTTATGCTGCCAAAATTATTCAAAAAATATCTTTCATTGGTTAACTGGATTTTCTAGAGGCATTTCACATTAAAAAAAAAAAAAAAATCTTTCTGTTCTAGTTAACGACCAGTGGCGTAGCTAGGGTGGGGCAAGGGGGGACATCTGTCCCCGGGCGCAGCATCCAAGGGGCGCCAAATTGATGCTAGGAAATTTTTTTAATGAAATATTTTCCATTTCTGGCACACAGGAAGGGGCGCAAATTCTTCATTTGTCCCCGGGCGCTAGAAACTCTAGCTACGCCCCTGTTAACGACCCTAATTCCAATCCATTTTTGCCTTCAGCCTTTAAAGAAATCATGTTTTAGGTCTGGTTTCATCAACAGATGGCGCCAATGGCTTATCTCCTGTCCAGGCTTTATTATCTTATCTAATCATTTTATCATATCTCGTTCATTTTGCAGCTGAGGATGATGGTTCGGTAAAACCATCGAAACTAGTCCTGTGAAAATTTGAAAATATAACGTTGATTTGTATTGTTTGACTTCTAAATTAATATTTGTTCGGCGTGTTATTGTATCTTAATGAACATTCCATTTTAAATAAATGTTTTAGCTTGTCCTGTAGAATCATCGGGTTACCTGGAAGCAGAAGTATATTAAAAATGAGGCCCGGACTCGAACCTGTACCTCTCGAATACGCCCCGAATATACTACCGTTACAGCACGAAAGCACGCAGAAAGGAGGGAGAAACTACCTTATATACTCCCCCTTTTAAAGTGCGACTGGGGATTAGAGGACCCAATCGCCAAATCCTGGTGGTGAGGCGTGATCATCCACCACCTTTTAGTTCGTGCGCCACTGTAGAGTCATTGGGTTATTTTGAAGAAGGAGTACACGAAAAATGAACAATGTCCTCGCCGGGACTCGTACCTGGATCTCTGGAATAAGCACCGAGTGTGCTACGACTACACCACGAAGGCATACAGGAAGGAGGAAGAAACTACCTTATGTTCTATGTATTTTAATATACTGTGTGGAAGCTTTTTCGTGAATGCGGAAAAGATAATATCTACTACTCATTATTTTCAATTATGTTTTTTTAATTAAATATTTTACAAAATTGTTAAAATTTGTTTACATTGAAGGCGCTTAATTTTTCCCTAACAATAAATTAAATAATGGAACTATAACTTCTCTCAAATTTTTAAATAGGTGCGTCAGAGGCTAAGCGGTAAAATCGCCGAACTCTGGTAGTTCGACTCGGGCTCGAATCCCAGCGAACGGGCTGGCTGCATGAGGGTTTTCTTGGTTATCTCCATGTGTAACGTGTATAGAGCCAGTTTCCCTTGAAAATCCTCCACAAAGGCATTCGTGCTTTTAAGGAGATAGCTCTCGTGTGCTTTACCATAATTAAAATAAACCAATAACAATAAACCAAATGTTAAATATTTTTAGACAGATACCTATATGAAACAACTATTTTTAAATAAGCATGTAATATTTTAAAGAAAAATTAGGCAATGCAGTTTAAGTACCTTAAGTAATGGGACATCTTTGTGTTTTGTAGAGATTTGCCATATTGCTGCTAGGGGAATGCAAGATATAGGCAAAAGAGCCATTGCCCAACCTATGGCATTACCCCACATTGGAAATACATAATCTCCCATGACAAGAGGCTCGAAATTAATCCAGCTCAAGAGTAGAATGACCTAGTTAAATAGAAATTATTTAACATAAGTTTCAAGTTCTGAATAACTAAATAATCTTAAGAATTGTCATTTATAGTAGTTAGATAATTCTAAATACAGTTAATTCTGAATAACTGGGTAATACAAAGATATAAATCAAGTTCATCACCACCAAACATAAATTATACATTTAGTATGAATAAGGAATAACAGTAGCTTTAATAAGAATAAAAGTTTAAATATATTTTAAAACTTATTTAGTAACAGGTCTCTTTATCTTCTTGGCAATATATACAGAAATTTTCAGAAAATAAAAGTTAAAGATGAAAAGTAAAAAAAAAATATATATATATATATTTTATATATTTTTTTTTTGAAAGAAAATAATAAAAAAAAAAAAATTTTTTTATTTTCATCTTTATCTTTTTATTTTCTAACTTTTAAAAAAATAATAAAAATTGAAAAAAAATTTATTTTCTAACCTGAAAAAAAAAATAAACTTGAAAAAAAATTTTATTTCTAACCTGAAAAAAAAAAACTTGAAAAAAAAATTTTTTTTTTTTTTCATCTTTATCTTTTATTTATCCTTTTAAAAAAAAATTTTTTTAAAAAAAAAAATTTTCTAACCTGAAAAAAAAAATGAAAAAAAAATTTTTTTTTACTTTTCATCTTTATCTTTTATTTTCTAACTTTTTCAAGTTTTATTATTATTTTTCTTGACGAACAAAATATGGTTGTTGCTCTTCCCACCTTTGCAAAACCTTTTTCATCGTGAAGAAAAGTCTGAGCTTCCTCAAAACTGAGCCAATGTAAGGCTGGACTTTTGCTAATTGTAAATTTTACATTGGCATGTCTCGCTTTCATTCGAAACTATATTATCTTTGTAATGCATTAAACATAAGCGCAATGTAAGGCTTTATTCAATTTTTTGAAAATCACGGACTTACCCCAAGGACTATAGGACTAATGGTCATAATAGTGACTAGCAGATGACTTCGTATCCAAGCTCCAGGTTTCCATCCAGTCATGACCTTTAAGTCGTCCATAAAATTTCCCATACCTAACCGAAGAAAGTACATTAATTGTAAGGAATTAAAGTGAATTAGAACATAACAAATTAAGAGGAATTGTCAAAAAATCCTCACAAAAGCATCCATTCCTTTAGGTAGATAGCTCTCGAGTGCTTTGCCATAAATAAATTAAACCAATTACAGTAAGACCCCGCTTAACGCTGTTTCGGTTTAGCGCTCTTTTATTTCAACCCGGGGATTCTCCGAAATTGTGCGCAGCGCTAGGTTTCCAAATAACATATATGGAACAGTGTTGTTCTTGTTTGGTGCAGTACAGACGCATTTTTATCATTTGAAACATTCGTTGACATTATTGTAAGTATAAATTTATATATTACTATAACGATTAATACAGTAACAAATATTATGATCTTTAGTTTTTATCATGGTGATGAAAAAAACAAGAAAAGAAAGCAACAAGAAAAGCATTAACTGGAAACTCAAATGCAAGTGATTAGAAGATTAGATTCTGGTGAACGTCAATCCAAATTAGCGCTGCATTGATTTTTGGCAACTTAAAACGTAAGGACAATTTAAGAATAAAGAAAAAATACTGTCATCGGCAACTGCAACTACGTCAAGCTCTGCAAACTAGAATTACCGTTCTAGAAATAACATTATAGAGGAAATGGAAAACGACTGTCTATATGGATTGACGACGAAATTGAACGCAATATGCCATGAAGGCCAATCTATCATAATGCCTTCTTGACAAAAAGGCAGAAAATTGGAAACCCAGAATAGACTGAATGATCTGACTGAGAATTTTATTGTTTTTAAAAGTATATGCGTTTATATTGTTTTTATTTTTGTAAGAAATAAATGTTTGATTTTTTTTATTAAAAAAAACTTATTAATTAATGCCTAACCATTTTCATCTGTCTTCCCTAACCCCATTATTTACATGTTAAGATAGCCTCGCTTAGCGCTGTTTCGCATTACGCTCTACTTCGATGGAACGTATCCCCCGCGTTAAGCGGGGTCTTACTGTATATGCGGTATACTGTCCGCCCCTGAGACAGGCAACCAACCCTTATTGCGATTTTGACAAAACAATTTGGTTTATCCAGTGAGGATATGAAATAGAACAAAGAACGTTTAGAAAATTCAAAAATGGGCTTTTATTAGTTAATAATATAACGCAGGTTTAAGCTTTTTTTCCCTAATTTTTTAGAAGTTAAAATGTTCTAGTTTTTCCTTCACTTATTGCCACTTCTTCAAAAGTATGTGAAACAAAATGGAAAATAAGAACATACAATGGGACTGCCGCAGGTGTTCTTTATATGGCAAACACGTCGGCCCAAATCGCGCATGCATATTGCAAATGATTGTGGTGGGTAAGGCGGTGATATTCTAAGATCTCTTCAGCAGTTTTTGTTTTAAAATGAGGAACAACATTATTTGCTATCAACTGGCTAAAACTTTTAAGGAAATAGGCAATCTCGCTACAAGTGAGAGTACATGCAATTCATTTTGCTGCCGCTTGCCCCATAGTTGCAGGCGAGAGACTAAAAATATCGCTCAAACCAGTGGCTGAAGTGTTCGACCGGGGTCACCATTCCCGGCTATCAGAGACCACCATGGGGCGCGGCTATATAAGCTTGAAGATTTGACTGATATTCAAAATGCCCCTGCCAATACTACTCGAACAGCCCGCATAGAAGAGATTTCACAGAATTCGGTAAACTAGCTGTAGCACCGTTACTACATCTAATGGAATTGCACAGAATTTGGATCGAACAGCCGTGACAGTTACCGATGCCACCAGTTTGGGATCTTACAACCAATTCTCCCTTGGATCTAACCGTATAAGACGAATTTCTCTTGGGGTTCTGCAACCACCAGGCTCATGTTTTTGTCCCCTGAGGTTCTGAAACCACCAGGCTCGTGTTTTTGTCCCCCTACGACTGTCAAGGTACAGATCGTAGCCAGTACAATAAGCGACGGTCGGGGGAAGGGATGAGATAGACCATGGATATTACAACATGATAATGCACCTACTCACAATGTTAGTTCTTGAGGTTTTGGCCAAAAATTCAACAGATACGGCTCCGCAAATGACATATTTACCTGATATGGTACTTTATGTCTTTTTTATATTTTTATGGTTAAAACTGTTCCTTCTTCGCCAAGAAAATCTGCTGCAAGACCTGGATAGATTTCACAAAAATTACTTTTAGATATGTTCCAAAGAGTGAAGAAAATGTTTCATAAGGGCATTGCTCTTAGAGGTGATGACTTTGAAAGAAGTATTAAAACATTGTTCAATGGACTGAAATCTTGTATTTTATGGAAAAATTCTTCATACTTTTTGATCTCACTAGTACGTAGATTTTCAATATTATTCATCTTTTGGACCGAACTGGCAAGTATGGATAGGGCGTTCTTTACGTTTATGGGAAACAAGAATACAACTGAATGTCAATATTTTCATATTTTGAATATCTCTAGTTCTCTATCATTTATAAAGGAATATATGTGGTTGCATAAATACAAAAATTAAGAACACAAATGATGAAACACTCAATATATATATATATATATATCCCTAGATTCGGTCTTGACTCAGATTCTCATCTAGTCAAATTGACATCAGATATATAATTAGTATATTTTTACATTCGGGTAAACATCTTCAAGTAAAGAAATCCCAAAAAAGGAATAGCAAAAAATCCTTTTCTAAGAAACCATTTTTATGAGCAAATTTTCCTGGAAATTCAGCACTGTTATACGTTCGTCAGCAGGGTCTGACTAACGTATTTCTAGCCTCTGTTCGGGGGCGTAGCTAGAGGGGGGCATCTGTCCCCGGGCGCAGAATCCAAGCGGCGTCAAACTGATGTTACGACATTTTAGAATTAAATGTTTTCCATCAGAGTCGTAGCTAGGGTTTTCAGCGCACAGGGACAACTGAAGATTTCGCGCCCCTACTGCTTGCCAAGGATGGAAAACATTTCATTCTAAAATTTCGTAATATAAATTTGGCGCCCCTTAGATGCTGCGCCCGGGGACAGATGTCCCCCCTTGCCCCCCTCTAGCTACGCCCCTGTTTTCCATCCTTGGCAAGCAGTAGGGGTTCTTCAGTAAATCTTCAGTTGTCCCTGGGCGCTGAAAACCCTAGCTACGACTCTGCCTCTGTTGGTATATGATTCTTACTATCAGTATACCTCGTAATGCTTGACTTTTCAGCATAACTTTTGTGTTATTTTGATAATACACATTTCAGTTAAAATAAAGAGAACAATAAAGCTTTAACGAAAAAGTTATCTTTACCATATACGTAAGCTATAACGAAGAGTTCCAGAAGACCAATAACAAGGTAAGGCCATCCTGCAGCATACGCGTCCATGACTTCCAGAAGATATATTCCACCCTATTAAGATAAATATTCATAAAATTAGTGATTTAGATTGAAGGATATTTATGTCATGAAGTTATTAGAGAAGCAGCTCAGGTTTCTATTACCACTCATGTAGTTTGTGTGAAACGTAAATCTTTTGAAAATACAGTAAGTTAAATTTGGTCATGATCAAATTAAAATCGCTTGATGAAGCTTTAGCAGAAATTAAAAGGTATAGGTTCCTTAAGCTTCGTTCAGACGGGGGCGTAAAGGGCATAAGTGGTTAACCCATTAACGGTTTCACCCGGATTTTCTCGTTCTTTTATGCAGGTCTCTTAACGGTTCGTTACGGATTATTGTTAGTTTAAATGTACCCTCGAAAACGGACAGTCCCGTGTTTTTGTATTATCGAAAAACACGCCAAAAAGGATAGCGTATTTTTGTATGTCTTCCAACCCCAATGCCTAAGGGGACAAGGGTTCATGCAATCCTGACGACAATGGGTAATGGGCTGTCATTAGCGTGGGGAGAAATCTCCTTGATTTTCGGATAAAGCCTTACACTGACTCTAAAGAAACAAAATTTATTACCAGTACAAAGTGATGCTATAAAGGGATTTAAGAATTTCTGTTTTAGAGCAGTATTGAATAAACAAAAGAATTTTTACAAAATGAACGTTTACTATAAGAGCTTAATGAATTAAAACGAGAAAAATAAAAGTAATAAATGCAAACATAAAAATCTGAGAATGCAAATCTTTCAGTTACATACGCCCAAAGGGCGTTTTTTAACGGTTGGGGTTACCTTTATTTTTAAATATCATGTTCTTCGCACTTAAACCATAAAAACTTCAGTTAAAACAATACCGCAAAATAAATTTAAATGAGCATATCTTTAGATTTACGATACACAGCTAGCCCGTTGAAGATAATTTTTATATTATTATTTCATACAGTGTTGTCTTTGCTCGTTTTTTTAAATCGTGAGTTCTTAATAAAAATTATTGAAGTTTTAGAAAGGAAAAATAATAAAACATTCCAAATTCGGCTCGAGATGCCCATATCGGTAAAATGACGTATTAAATTGGATGGCTAGGTGCCGTGTTATCCCATGCGAGAAAATACATCATTCATCGATTTCAAATTAATTTTTAAAATATATTAATAAAAAAAAAAAAATCACTTCTGAGGTAATCTTAAACCCAAATTAAGTTTTTTATTATAATTATGAAAGAGTTCAACTCATTTGTTAATTTTCAGATCGTTAAAATTAGTGTGGCTTTAATGAATGATTATTTAGACCTGTTACAGGAAACAAATACATCAAAAGTTTCCTTTAAAATATCAGGAATTATTGAAAAATCTTCTGTAATTTATAAACGAGAAAACGTATTTATCCAGATTTTACATGTGTGAAAAAATAATGAATTTTGATCTTCCCTAGTAGAGACATTTGTAATTATATTTCTAGTTCCAAATTCAAAGTGAGAAATCTAGGTGCCTGAAGCCAGAGAACACTATCGATTCTTCTTGGCTTCTATTTTCAGCGACGAAATAGATCAACTGCATGGAATTTTTATGATTTTTCTCAACATGTAAACTAAATGCGTGTAAGTGTTTCTTAGAAAGCTCGTCGGAAGTAGAATACCTTTATCTTGGTAGATAGATATCGTGTGCTTTAGTAAATTTAGCAAATCTAAACACAGGGCCGACAGTACTATGTTTGAGGCCTTTCTCTAACATAGTCGAATAGTGTATCGAACAGTCGAACAATGAAATCACCCTACATCGCCCTCTTTTACTTACTTTTATACTTTTATCTCAATATTATATATTGCATCCACAAAAATTTCTCTAAATTAATGTTATTTGGAATCGAAAACCATTTTATGCTTAAATACATCTTTCCAGATGTTTGTCTTTTACTCACTGAGAGTCAATGCTTCTTGAAGATGTCAATTCATGAATGAAAAATTATTTCTTGCTTTTCCGGTTTCCCCTAACCGTTCCCACAAAAGGCCGAACCTTTGGGCAAAAACAGCCCTCCTATGATGTTAATTCCTCAGTAAAAGAGAAAGCACTGAACGGGGTAAAGTAGTAGAAATCTTGACTTTCCTTTTCACTCAAAATTCAAGCATTCCCAAAATCTACTATAAAAGATATACTCCCTAAGGTATAAAATTTTTGTGTAATGAAATTATAAAATGCAATATATATATATATGCATTATAATATATACATATGCTAAAATATGAATGCATATATATATATCATTGATATATATATATATATATATATCAATTAAACCTTTAGACACACTCACACACATACATAATCAGATATATTACATATATAGAATCACATAGTATCAGTAGGTGAAAGAAGAAAATAAATCCTACTGGTGAAAGATTGCTGAAGAAATTCAAAGCATAATGAAAGTTTCTTTTATCTTGGAATCAAAGAACTTTTTTATCGCTTTAGTTTTTGGGAGACTATTAGATTAAAATGTAATAAATAAATAAGTATATGGAAGAAAAATAAATCTTTAAAGGAAGAAAAAGGAAAAATAGAACCAAACAATCAAATCATTTTCAGCATTAAAACCAATTTTAAGTGCGACAGTATATTTTCCTGCCGATACGAAAACTTAAGAAAATAGACAGAAATCTGCATTGTTTCACCTATCAATATACGACAAATGGAATAACGATACAAGAAAAAGTAAATTTGAAAAATTTGCGAAAGCGGAATAATTTCGAATGCTGCACAAATAGAAAGATACCATGCAGATACATTGGATTTTTTTCGAAGCAAGAAATGCGAAAATTCAGCAGTGCCCTCATTGTGCTTCTAATAAGGAGGTCTTCCAAATTCTAGCTGGAAGGACTTCCATTTATAACAAGATAGTGAGAATGGCATAATTCCTTATTATTTGTTTTCATTTAAAGGGCGAGAGAGAAGAAGCACGAGGCACTGTCGGAATAATTCATGTGTTAACGAATTATCGTCTGACATGTTTTCGTTGGGGTGCCATTGAAGAGACATAGCGTTTTTATGAGGGGAAAAAAAAAAAAAAAAAAAAAAACACGAAAAATCCGTTATCCTATCAGCGGAATACGAACCACAGGCATTCCGACTGATAGTCCGATCTACTATCACTTACACCCCGAGTTCAAATTCTAGCTGGAAGAAGCTCCATTGAGCAATTTCCAGCTCAAAGAAGAATGAGATAATTTCTCATAATCAATACGGATATATAACTGATGATTCTAAAATTCTATTATCATTAAGACTGGAAAAAATACACGATTTAATTCATTTTCATACATTTTAAAAGAAGTTAAATTTTTCAGAGAGTTACTATAAAATATTTATTAGAATGTCAAATTTAAGCATTTCAATTATTTATATAATAAAGGATAAATTTTATATTTATATAATAAAGAAAAATCGTTAATAATATCACTCTGATTTTAGTGGAGATATTTTAAGAAATAAATAAGTGAAAGCTGGAGGAAGAAAAACTATTTCAAGTTATATGTTTATCTTAAAAGTAACGAGAGAAAAACTATGTTAAAAGAAAAGGCACGCATATCGAAATTGTTTCCTGTACTGCTGACAAATTGTTATATGGCATGCATACTATAATGTTCATGAATAATTGATTGCTACTAGATTAATACAGGCATAGCATATTTCTAGGGACTGATTTGCTGTAATTTCCAATTTGATTTTTGCATACTTTTATATTTAGGACACTAATTACATCACACTGAAGATTACTCAATGCAATAATTCCATTGCAGTTTTATAGAAAATTATAAAATTTTCAGTTTCAATAAACAAATATATAATATTTCGATGACTCAGCAGGTAACATAATTTATTATCTTTCAAGTTTTTTTTCGAAAACACCTCGGCAGATATAGAATCAGCCGCAGACTGTACTAACTTTAACAAGCGCAGTATCTGAGTGTTCACATTTCTGTTTATAACTGCAATAAGAACAAGTATAAGTTTGAAAAGTTTACCAATGGCTATGTGGATAAAAGAGATGATCATAAGTATTTTGACCTGGTTTTGGTTTCTGGTCAATACGTTGGCTGTAGGGAAGATTTCGTGATTTTTTCCATGTGAACTAGTTTTCTTTATAAATTCCTCTAAGTCTTTCGTTAAGTACATACAAAGTTGCTACATTAAACATTAGTAAGTGTTTACATAGGTAAACATTTTAAAAGCGACTAGCGTAAAGAAAGATTATTTAAATTATGTTTTTTAAAATGCAAATTCAGAACACTGAAAACCAAACAGTAAACATTATAAGACTAATTTAATAATCTTTGGTTTGGTTTACTTGAAAACTTTACTTAAAAAACGTTGAAATTTACAATGTTTACAACAAACTATTATTCTGCCATATTCATCGATTGCGTTAATCAAAATCTAAAATTATTTAACGTAAAATGTAATTATCCGAAAATTATGTAAAATGAGAATTTTTTCCCACTATATCTGTAGTTTACAATGGCTAGAAAAAAAGATAGCTCTAGATAATGAGTATTTCTAGAATGAAAAAACTCTATTGACTAGAAAAAATAGTCTTTTCGAGACCTTAGTGTCAGTTAGCCTGCGGAGGTCAGGTTCCCTTCCAAAAAAAAGTAAAACTGTTTAAAATGCATATAGTTTAACGCTTCCTGTTTTATTTGGAATAACATTTCAAAAATAAAACTCGTGTTGGTTACGAACCAAGCAATTCTTAACGGGATAAAAAGCCGTACTTTGATAATGCTAGGATCATGCATTCAGTTTTCGTCGTTTTAATAAAATCCATTATGAT